TAGCAGGTGTTGCTACTGTGTTTAGAAGTAGTTTTCGTTTTTGGTATTATTCATAACTGGAAAGTTATTTTTATCAAAATCAAAGTAGATACACTATTTTTATATCGGCCGGAATTCAATATTTCCCGTATTTTTCTTCTTTAGGAATAATAAACAATTAACACTCTAAAAATAGATAACTTAAAAATATTTAAGGAATCAATAAATAAAAATTCTTAACTCAGTTATACCTTGTATTGACACCGACATCGTTTGCTTCGCTTGCTCCTCGTAACATGGTCGTACGATAGTAACTAATTAAAAAGTAGGTTAAACGTTGAAACTGGTTTTATTTACAGGTAGGTATACTAGTAGGTACGTCAATAAACAGTATATCTATAGTCTATTCATAGTATCATGAATAGGCTCATGGAAGTATGAAAGAACAAAAGCGTGACGTTACAATGGAACACGGCGGTAGTGCGATGTCAAGATGCTTTTCCTAGTTCGATTGATCGTGCTATGAAAATCTTACTGATTTAGTTTTAGATTTACTTTTTAACGTTTATTTTTTATATATAAAACAGAAGTAGGAACTTTAAGTAAAAAGTATTTATTGTAATCAGCTCATGATAATATAGTAAACCTGCCTTCTAATAATAAAAAATAATAATGATGAATTTGATTCTTCAAATATTTGTTACTGCAAATTTGTTAATTATCAATGGTGAGATATGTATTAAATTTTATTATTTATTGAGATGTAATTAGTCCAAACTCGTAACTATCTTTATCTTATAGAAATTCAACTTAGGAAGCATCAAACCTTGTTTAAATAAGCTGGCGCTACTTAACTTTTTTCCTTACTGTATTGTCTTGGTAGTGAGTAGAGTTAGAAAAATTTCTAAGCAGTCTAATTATTACGTTTATTTAATATTTTGTTACATGGGCTTATAATTAACACGGTGTTTTAATGCGGACTGAAGTTTCACTAGAGCTATGTATGTGGTAGTTATATAGAGGCAGAAACAAAATGGGTGCCGAGTGTTGAGTGACAGCACTGTTAACTGATTATATAAGAGTAAAATGTTATAAGTGCATGTAGGCATACTGATTCGATGGAAGAGTGAAATATGGCTTTGAAATTAAGTGATAATAATATACCTATGTGGTGCTCTGTATCCTCAGTTACCAGTTATCATCAGGTCAGCTTCGTCAGTTTGTTTGCTATCCCAGTTATATAAAAAAATATTATATCATTAACTACATACGTGAATCATGTTTCAAACAATGTCAAGTTTATCGTGCATAGTTTTTTTTATAATTATACAATCTTTGCAATCATTACACTATACATGTGTCAATAAGAGAACATGTGCGACACACGTCGCGTAATCGTGATAGTGGTAATTTTATCATACACCAGTAAATTAGCTAATTATAAACAGAGCCGGGCGCGTGGGGGCGTAAAAATAAATCGTTGTTCAATCGCACTGTCTCTTATATTTTTGTTTAAAAATATGAATTTTATTATTATATACCACTGTACTTGTTTTAGAAATATAATAACACTAACTGACCCGCCCAACTTCGTCTGTTTCCCACTTCCTTGACATTTATTATTATATTATATGTCGCCCAATTTGCATAATACGTTTTTTATTTATAGCCTACATGTTATTCTGATGTTAGCTATATTAATGTAAAATTTCATCATAATCCGTTCAATAGTTTTTGCTTCAATGAGTAACAAATATCTATCTATACATCCATCCGTCCATACTCACAAAACTTTCACCTATATAATACTAGTAAGATAAAATAATTTTATATTTTTTAGAAGGAAATATAATAAAAAAATAATATTTAATTACATATTATCGTATCTTTGTGATTGTTTCTTAATCGCACTTAAAAAAATCTATACAATATATTACAAGACTTTTCTAAACCATATATGTATCTATATGAGCATGAATTCACTTTTGTCGTATGTAGTATTTTCTGTCTGTTCTGGCAGAAAATGAGTCCCGCGAGGGTAAGACGTCGGTAATTATTGAACAAACATGTGTTACAATATGTATTATAGTTCGTATAAATTGGACGTTTCAAAATTATTTTTCTTATGTATAAGTTATTTTTTATGGAAATTAGCAATATAATTACATGTCGCTCATATCGGCTATATTAGTGACTACCTGAGCCCGTGCCTTTAATCGTGTTTCGGAATAATAATATTTTATATCTTTTTTACATGTAAATACATTAGAATAAAACTAAAGACTGTATTTCAAGTGAAACTACCTCAACATATTAGTGATAACCACGCCTAAATCAGTTAAGCTGTTTCAGAGATTAGCGCGTACAGATGCATAGACAAAAATGGTAATATAGTATTAGGTTGTACTACATTGATAAAGTTTCTCAATAATAGTTTTTCTCAGTATATCTTCTATGTGCGTACAGCGATCAGTTTCGTTTTCATTATATGGACCAATACTAGTAGGTAATTAAATATCAACTGACTGAGATGAGGATGAGAAGGGGCTGATACTCATGATTGATTACTCCAGCTCGAATATCTGCAGTAACTTTTTCAGACACCGTTTCAGTCAGAAGAAGTTGCGAATCTGGGATTTAGATATATGTATGTAACTTCGTTGTAACTTGGGATTGTTTATGTAAGTTTGAACGCGATCAGAATATTGTATAAGTTATAATCTAATACTACAATATGAATTCTGTAATTATTCTTATATGTAGATGTATGTTGTAAAGAACTTAGTCATTTATGTAGGTCTATATTTATGACTAGCTGTTCCCGCGACTTCGTTCGCGTGGAAATTAACTTTATTTTTCTAAAATAAAAGATTTTTTCTGAAATTAAAGTAGCCTAAGTTACCCCTTATTATTATTAGCTATCTGCCAAACAAAGTTCCGTTAAAATCGGTCCACCAATTTCAGAGATTAACCGAAACAAACAGACCGACAGACGGACAGACAAAAATTGTAAAAATGTTAATTTGGTGTGTGCACCGTATATATATTTATATTCATGTAGTAAAAAACGGTTATTTCAATATTACAAACAGACACTCCAATTGTATTTATAGGTATAGATGTATAGATAACTAATGTACGATATTGTAACTTTTAAATAGATACCTATACAATAATAAAAAAAAAGTAGTTTGACCTTGTTTTACTTGTAATTGTAAAGTAAGATGTCAATATTTATCGTTTCTCGTATATAAATATATATGTATAAAATGTATTTTAATATGTATTAAATATATATGTATGAAATTTGTTTCTTTATTCATTTGTTATTTTGCTGTCATACAATTTGAGAAACTTAGTTTATCTTATCAACCGGTTAGAAATGTACACAATTCAAATAGTAAATATATAATATTTGAATTTATGCTTGAACAGAAGTGCGGAGATAATTCATAAATAAAGTAAATTATTAATGACAAATGTAAATTATATCTAGAGTACGGTGATATATTAAAAGCGACTCGGTACAGAAATAGCAAAAAGAAAATGGATATCTTTCAACCAGAGTGAACTCATCGCTTTATAAACTAAGCCTTTCTTTGCTATGTCATATCAGACTCACATTTTCAGAGTTCAATGATTTGTGAACACCTTCATATCTCGATGTTATAACATTATATTTATAGCTACATACATACATATATAGGTTCTTTTTATTATATTTTATTATGTAACTGAAAATGGCAAAAATCAGGCAGTCCTTCTTATAATAAGTGGACAACGTCGCCTTTATAGGTACATTAATAGCACCAAGTCATTCTGTAATACCAGTATTATCACTCATGGGTTGGCATTCAAAAAAACTTGAGATATTATGCCACGTCTCCTGTCATTTCGCTACATATCACTCTCCAATCGAAACACAGCTTACAAAAAAAGCGGTTTAGCCATAGGTTCATATAGGTAAGAATAATGGGTATATGAAGAATAATAGTATTTCTTATGTTTTCTAGTACACGTATATAGTGTTTCGGATTAATTGTTTGTTGAGACATTTTTAATCCGATCATAAAAATCTTAACACACGGCTAATCCTAAATACTATATGCCTATACTAAAAAGATAAGAAACACTAGCTTCTGGGTAATACTATCTTGAAGTACAAGTCTACATGTTTATGGTACTTAAAGTGGATTATCTACGTAAATAAATAATTAAGTATAAAATAGATAAATAAGATTAAGGTTGTCTTTATAAGATGTGGAAATTCAAATATTATGATAGGCTAATAAGATGCTAAATGGTAACCGTCGCCTATATGCGTCCCTTATGCGTGTTTATTAAGTAATTACAGAAGTATTAATCATGCAGTATATCAGTACTGTGTTGTGAATCATTTCTCTCCGATGAAACATGGCGTTAAAACGATCATTTGGCCCTTCATTAGAAATTCAGTTTTTATCAGCTGATGAAACAGTGTACAGTGATGTATGAATGAAGCCACTAATATTTTTTGTATTACTGTATTGATAAACAAATTGGCAACATCATGAAAACTGATAACGTCACCTAGAGACATGAATAGAGGCGATTTATGTTTACACTATATGCTATCTCAATGTTTTTCTTTGGTATTTTTTTAAGTAGTTCAACGTTTCCATATTTGGTCGATATTTCCATTGTTATATATTCATAAAAATGGCAAAATGAAAATAAATTTCACCTGTTATTAGAATATCAACTTTTTTAATATTTTGCTTACTTTTTACTTAATCTGAGAGTAAGTCTCAAACAAAAGATTTCTGTAATTACAATATGTTTTAATTAGTCATGATAAGACGCTACAGTATTTTAATAACATGGTTTGAAGAACCATATTTATCTAATGTTAAATATATGAAAGATTATGGTAGAGTTAATATACGAAATGTTAATACACATACCGACGTCCCATTACGTCATTAATTTAATATAAGATTTATACAAACTACGTGTTTACCCTTCATTATTGCCTGTTCCAGCCGATGGTATGACGTATTCATTCGGCGTGTTTTATGCGGAGTTTCTGACCTACTTCAACGAGGGCAAAGGCAAGACCGCGTGGATCGTCTCCATCCTGGTGGGGGTCACATTAAGTTCAGGTAATTAAAGACACCATTGAAAAACGGAAAATATCCGTCCCTTTTTATACTCCATGAATGAAAGAAAGCATTAAAGCGGAACGTATTCTTTAATACGTAACGTCATATCCACACACCAGAGACTAAACAAATAATTATATATATTCTTAACATATCTATACTAATGTTTGTCTGTGTGGTTGTTAATTTTTCACGACTAAACACCAAAACAGGTTTTTATGAAAATAAATTATATCACTAGAAAAGACATAGGCAACCATTTGTCTCAAAAACAGACTAAATCGCAGATGTAATATTACAATGATTTAGAATATTTATAAACCGATATTAAAAATTTCATTACCCTTGATAACACAATGGTACACAATTGCTTTTTTTGTTCATATGTAAATCTGACCTAACATCAATATACTAAATGATTTATCATATGAGGGCGCAATAGAATATAAATGTCTAGAATTAGGTTATAATATAACAATATATATATATTTGTTTAAGTGAACTGTGAAGAAGTTATTATTTACATATTGATGTAAATCCTATTTATTAAACTCGGTATATCAGTAAACAATATTCGACGCTCTTTTGTTTTTTAAAAGACCGACAACTAATTAGTATCTCATTATTTTTATCACTTAATTTAAACAATCTTTATATAAAAGGTTAAATGTTTTTACCAAATACCATTATTATCTAACATTAAATTATTATACCAATTATTTAATGATATTGCCTGGATGAAGGAAATAAAAAAGTTTGCAGCGACGCGACTGTCCTTATTTCTCGGTAGGAATACAGAGTACTACATATCAATGTATCAAGTAGAATACGACTCACATAAAGTATACCTCGTTCGAAGTTCTTTTAACAATTATACGTTTAAAAATACTTTGTTAATTATGACTAATCCATAAGGATTAATATGAGTGTTCCCAAAGTACCTAAAATGCATCATATATACACAATAATATTCATTGAAACGAACTACTAAAGAGTTCAGATAGTACGATATGTAACCAATACAGAAATCCGTATCGACTACAGATTAAAATTTGTAGCAAACAAGCTGACGACACACGTCGTCTACGTAATACAGTCTATCGTCTATAGACCTAAACATTATCCCAAACATCTCCTAATACACTGTGACATCCGGAGTGTCACATTCCGGTAGTAAGTCTCCCAGTAATTTCGCTGTCATTCTTAGCTATCAAAACAGTATTTATATTTAATTTATGATACAATATTGTAATAGATTGCAGTAGCTTATCATATTTAATCCATCAATCCCGAACTGAACAACTTTAGAATTGTTAGTGATAAAATAATTGTCACCTATCCCAGGGTAATAATAATGCCACTTTACATCAAGCATAATACGAGTAGGATTTGCTTTGTATAACTCGCAAATAAAAATGTACCAGTTTATTAATATTACATTCTAAAAGCAACGCGAGTTTTAAATAACGTAAATATTACTACAATTTGTGCAAACTAGTAATTTAAAACTTCCTGATCTGTAATCTAGTACTGTAAAATACGACCCACGTACCTATATTCTATAATTTTATCTTTGTCATATCCATTTATAAGAATAAACGTATATGTTATGTTAACTACATCCACGATAATAGTATTTAACTATTTTTTAAGTTTGTGTTGATAACTTTTCAGGTCCAATATCAAGTTCCTTTGTGAATCGTTGGGGCTGCCGTGCGGTGACTATAGCTGGAGCACTATTATCTGCTGTATGTGTGGTGGCATCGGCGTATGCTGAAAATGTGCTCACTTTAATCTTCACCATCGGCGTCGGCGCCGGCTTCGGTTTTGGTCTAATATACCTGCCCGCTATTGTTAGTGTCACTGTCTGGTTCGAGCGCTATAGGAGTCTTGCTACTGGTGAGTTATGTGCATTTTGTGATGCTCTATAGTATATACTAAATATTTTCTAAGTTCAACAAGTTTCTTAATGCATCATTATATCATAGATCATCAAGAATGGTAATTATTCAAATCTAACCCCACCATATTGTTATAAACATATTTCCACTCTAAAGTAAATTCTTCTGTTCTGTATAATCAGTGAACAAATTATACCGTATATAATAATAATAATCTCAGGACAATTCACAAGCTCCATCTAGACCCAAGTTAAGCTAGCTAAAACTTATGTTATTCGTACTAGCTAACTGATACAAATATATAGATATATTATTTAGAAAATACCCAGACCGATACAAATAATAATACTAAAGTTTGTGCCGTGCGAAACCCGCGACCATCGGAAGTAAGGCGGTGTGCTAAACCGCTGGACCACCGAGGCCGTCAAATATATAGTATAGATATTAATAATAATAATAATAATAATAATCATTTATTCAGCATAAAAAAGCGTACAGATAAAAAAGAAAACTTAAAAACTAATAATTCGCTATGCTGAAAAGGCTACCACTCAGCTGGTGCCGCAGCGTATCACTACAGCGCTGATTTTCAGTGGAGCCACTTGAAAAAAAAAAAAAAAAAAAAAAAAAAAAGAAATAGCATTCGTGATAAATTCAAATCAAATATCTAAAATGAAGAATCAGTTAAATGGATGAATTATATGTGTGATAAATAGAAGAAAAATATATAAGGATAAAAAAGTGTTGATAGAAAGACTTTTGTGTAATGTATATAGCTTGATATATTTATTTATTTAATCAATATACATGTATATAAAACTACTGTATTTATCTGCCACGTTTAAAATTTTTGTACTTTGAGTAAATATTTTTTAAAATTATGTTTAAAAGACGAAACTGACTGAAATTGATTTTTTGATTTGATTGACAATAACTCGCCGACTGTAATTGTATAAATTGTAAATTTAAATCTGTTGTTAACTTGTTACCGACCATACCGATCCACGTTTAGTTTTTTCACATTAGGAAGTTGCCTGTCCTAGCTTTTATGGCTACTTCTTTGGTTAAAATTATTTGCTTATTTGCTTACTTTTATTTAAATCAAAACAACAAAATGTGTACATTTGTCAATGTCACATCAAACTTTTGTTTCTATTGCAGGTATTGCAGTATGTGGGTCAGGTCTTGGTACATTTCTATTTGCACCAATAACATCAGCGCTTATCTCAGAATACGGCTGGCGCGGGGCCATGGCTATCATCGGTGCCTTAATTCTCAACTGCGTGCCATTAGGGCTCATGTTTCGCCCTGTACCTGAACAACGGAGAACGCCAGTTACAGAGCCTATGCTACCCAAATCTGGTAATTCTCCATTGAAAAGGTCACAAAGTACAGAGAATGTTATTCGAGCTAATGGAAAAGTTGAAGAAAATGATGTAGCCCGGCTAACACTTTCTCAGCCGGCTTTAAATAAATCACATGAACAAAGAAAACTATCTAAAAGTCAATCAAGACATGGTAGTGGTATTATGCAAAGACCTGATGTGTTATATCAAGGGAGCCTAAATAGTTTAGCAAAGTTTAGAGCAGCTTCTCCAGAAAGAGTACTTCCAAAAGAGCCAAAAAAAGAACCGGAAGACAGATGTGGATGGTTGCCGTGTTCGGCTGAATCGAAAGCTGCTCTATCGGAAATGCTCGATCTCTCTCTTCTAGTAGATCCAGTATTCGTTCTGTTTTCGTTATCCAATTTCTTAACTAGCATAGGGTTTTATATTCCATATGTTTACATTGTGCCTATGAGTGGGAAGATGAATGTACCAAACTCTGCCTACCTGATATCTATTATTGGCGCGTCGAATTTGGTCGGAAGGATTATTCTTGGATACATAAGTGACAAACCTTGGGTAAACCGCTTATGCGCCTACAATGTTTGCCTTACGGTTGCAGGAATTAGTAAGTAAAAACTAATTCTATTATTAACAGAATATGTTAATAGCATAACAATTACATTTCTAATATTGGATATATTTACAGGCACAGCTTTAGCAATGGCATGTTGGGAATTTTGGGGTCTAGCTGTATATGCAACCGTTTTTGGATTCACAATCGGTGCCTACGTCGGCCTCACTTCCGTAGTTCTAGTAGATCTACTGGGTCTTGAAAAACTCACAAATGCCTTTGGACTCCTTTTATTATTTCAAGGCATCGCGTCACTTATAGGTCCACCTCTTGCAGGTAAATCACTTTTACTCAGCATAGTATTTGGACATTTTGTAAACAAGACTTATTATATATTCAATACCTACACTTATTCTACAAATTGTTAACCATTTATTTAGCCTGATTAATGTCGACATAAATCATTAATTGTCCTACGTCTTTACTTCTAGGGTGGCTATACGATGTCTTGAACTCATATGCGCCCGGGTTCTATGTAGCGGGAAGCACGATCGCTTTAAGTGGTCTCATCCTATTCTTCATTCCTGTATTGGAAAAGAGGAATAACAGAAGCAGATGGATTGATGAGACGGATATGGAGCAAATATAGCGGGCCGGGTCCCGAGGGACTAGAGGGTACCCCATTATTGTACTCAACAGTCCCTCGACATCTTCCGCGCTAACTTCCGGAGATGAAACCAATAGTGACAGGGTATATGATACTACAATAGTAGAAGAGAATAATTTTTATACCGATAATAGTTACAATCATGTAAATAAACAAGTGGTGAGTGAATGCTTTGATGAGAGCTATCTAACTCATTCCAGACATAATGTGGCGAGTGTATGAACGAACATGTAGTGATAAAAGGTGCATACGACATTAATTTCCTATATTAGTTTAATCGTGAGGTGCCGATAGTTTTTCTTTATCCAAAGAACTGCAACAAATTTATATATAGTATATATATTTTATTTAGCATTAAGATAACGGATAAATTTATTATGCTTGAAGTATACTGACTATATGTTGTAATCAAATCACATTGATCAATTGGTAATATCATAAACTAGTCTACAACTATGTGAAAGGTGATTAATTCATGAAATATTACGGCTTGGCTTGAATAGAGACGTTTGAAGATATAAAATGGTTCTTATATAGGCGAATATTGTAAGATCATACCCCAAGATAGTTTCACTACTAGTATGTTTATTTACACAATAACATATTATATTACAATCTGCTATGTGTATATTTGTATAATGACTTATATACATTGATATAATGACTTAAAAATATTTATATTAAATGATAGGTCAGTAGATAATAGTCGAATATATCACGAAATGCAACTTGGTCGACTACTACACATATATATGTTAACAGCATAATAAAACATTTTGTTGTGCACTGGATGTAAATATTTTTTTTATGTTAATAATGACGACATCAAAACAAAAATACTGTAGAAAACATGTTTGATTTTGAATTGAATTTGAAAATAGCTAGAACAATTCAAGTAAGTTCAAATTCTATAAATGAAATTGAATATATGTATTGGGCGTTCGAATATTTTATGAATAAAGGCTTACTCATTAACTGTCGTTCATAATTATAATATAATTTCAAATTACGAATACATATTTATCAATAAATTTTAACTGAAATATTACATGGGTTTGCCAAGAAGAGAAAAAACAAACTTAGATGGGTGATATATACCCATCTAATATATTTATTTGTCTTCTTCTGGCTTGCTACTGATTATAAAATCTTAAATTTCATTCAACCTTTTGATCAATTACTGTTTGCAATTTTTCACAAAGTACCACAATATATGTAAATTTTATTCAAATACTAACACGTTATGTATCATACCAAAAGAGTACTCACATTGTTTCCATGGGAGAGGAGGAACAGAATACTAATGAATGTATTTTAGACCTTCGTATTACTAGGTATACAATAGTTTGTATACCTAGTAATACGAAGGTCGAAAACCACGAAAGTTGGTTATACCAACTTCCCCACTATTGATAAATATGTACATACTATATTTTACTACATCTACAAGGATATTATATAAAACATATATGCATAGATAATTAAGTGTAAGCAAAGAAAAATAGCTTTAATTAAACATGTATAAAATTAATATACAAATTAAAATACTTTTAATTTAAACACTAAAATAGTTCTTAAACACTTCCTTGAAGCTTTTAACTTTTTCATCTCTTTGATATCAAACTTATGCTATTGTTTGTACCTATGTGAAATAATATCATTTATAATATTTATTATTAATTGTAAAAAAAAATACAAACACTATTCATCTTCCCGAGGGCACATAAATTTGATTTTTAAAATATCCGCTTTGCCAATAGATGTAGTAAACAAATATATCGACTTAGGTGATGACGTATGATTCTTTAATGGCCTTATTGTGGACCAATCGTTGGTAGAATGGATGAGGTCCAACGTACCTTAACAGAAGCATAATCTATATTTAAGTAATTGTATAAATAATTAAAAGTACATTGGTTCATTTCGTTTATTTTTACAGTAGATATAAAATACAAAATAGTGCCAACTCTCCGTCTTTCCACGTCTTGAAGAATATTGTATTTTTATTAATATTATTATTTAATAGATTTTAAAGTCCGAGAGATGGCGCTAGTTATTAATTTCCGTGTTGTGTTCAGTAGAGTAATCCGTTATTCATTTTCTGAAAATGATACGTAAATTATATTATAATGTAAATACTTGACTGAACTAGGTAATACATATTGTATTATACAATCAACTGAACTGTGCAAATTACTGATATCTTCGTACAAATCTTTGTCACTTTGTTTTGTATTGATGAATTCTTGCGCATCTAATGCGTTAATTGTACATTAATGTTAATATGCATATAGACCTAATATTGAAATATATATTGGAATTTATTAATGCTATTTTGAAATGTTATTTAAATTGTTTTCCATCCTTTTCTCACATGTCCAACGTCCAATTAGATTCAAATTTCCTTGAAACGCCAACGGCGTTGATGATTATGTTATTAGTATTATATATTTATATTTTCTGTTCACCAAAAAGGAGTTGACTTGGAATATGACATGTACAAAAAACTTTGTATCTAAATTTATAGCACAGACTAACTATCTGGTGATGAAAATTGAAAAGAAATATTTGTTTATCTATACATATATATAAAATAGGAGTGTCCGTTTGTAATATTGAAATAACCGTTTTTTACTAAATGCATATGAATATAGATACGGTACATACACCAAATTATTATTTTTTACAATTTTTGTCTGTCTGTCTGTTTGTTTCGGGCTAATCTTTGAAATGCCTGGACCGATTTAGACGGGACTTTTTTTGACAGGTAACTGATGTAATAAAAAGTAACTTACGGTAATTTTATTTCGGAAAAATTCTTTTATTTTCGAAAAATAAAGTTAAATTCCACGCGGACGAAGTCGCGAGTACAGCTAGTGTAGAATAAATTACATTCAAAATTGCATGCTGCCGAGGCCGAAAAAAATAAGGGATACCTATTTTATTACTACATCATCACATCACACAATAGTTATAAATAATACAAAAGTAATGTTTATTATTTTATTATTATCTATATAAAACTCGTATTTACGTCTTTATGACCGCGTTACTGATATTTAAACTGTTCAGAAACTATTAATAAAACATTAATTGATAAAAGACACAAATGCACAGCTTATTTATTTTAAACTAAACTATTCTGAAGCTAATTGGTGAGTTACTAGTTATAAAAAAGACTTATTGACTTTTTCTATGCTCGATCTCTTGAGTATTCTGGATAAGTTTGGAAACGTGCAAATTGCACATAACATTTTGTAGTCGAGAGTCCACTATCAGTAGAGCAATAACAGTTAATGCTGGTGCCAGCTGAAAATTAATTAACAAAGACCAATTAATACACTCCGTACCTATTATTCCGTACCGTATTAAAGATAATATCGTAAAAGTTAACTTTACTAGTAGTGTAAAAACTGATGATTATTTTGTTAGTGGATTTGTGAATACTTCTATGGATGCAGAGACATTATGCTTATTCCCCAGATTTCTGACAGCAGGTTTCATGACAGTCATCAACTGATCATCACATCGATGTATTTATTGGAATGCTTTCAATTAATTCAAATATATTTCACAATTTCTATTAGAAACAAATTGACTTTCTTTCCTTTATTCCTTCTTTAGAAGAAGTTACAACATAGATTTTTCTATTATTATATTTAGTCTTATTAATTCTTACCCCATTCAGCCACAAAGCGCAATTCACATAAGTCGCGTTTAGAGACAAATTAGACAATATATTGTTAACTAATAGCTGCTGTAGCAAGATCCGTCCTTTGATAATAGCAATTGGCATCCAGCAGAGTAAATTAACAGCGGTTATAACAACGACATTCTGTAGCAAACAAAAAATAAAAATATTAATATTATTGATAACAATCGACTACTATCGCACGCATTTGATAGACGAAGATAGCCAACATTGCTATTTCGTTCTAAACCTGCAAGAATAAAATATACCCGTACAGTATGTGGGTATAGTAGGTGACTTGAAATTAAAATTTGTGACATTTACATACCTATTTACCTGATAGAATAATAGATACCAGTATTACGTTTAACTAACATAACTGTGATCCATTAGATTCTTGCTACTACAGTACATTACATATTAAAAAAAGAATTTAACTATTCGTCAAACAGATAGGTAGACATGAAATTAAAACCCTTAAAAGCACAATATGCATTTTATACATTGTAATCATTTAACTATGGAAAGAATACCAATAATTTACCTTTGTGAACTTGATTTGCTTTTCGTCAACAGTCATACATTTGGTCTGCAGCAGATTGGCCCAAAATAACATCGTAATCCTTAAACAAAAAATAAGCACAAATTTACTATATACTTAATTAATAAATAAACTACTTCAAGTACTACCTTAATAAAAAAAAACACAATACTTTAATCGTAAATATTTTATCACAAGACCAAGAAAAAATATAATACCCGAGGAACATAAAAAATAATATCAAAACAAATATTATAAAAGTAAAGATATATTATATAATGTCAGTTAGTACAACTTCTATGAATAGTAGTAAAGAATATATTTAGGCATTATATAGGCATTATAAACAATAAAAGTAGAAAAAATATTAATTCCATCGCCTTTCTGACATTCAGCTTTAGGTTGATTTTCTTGTTTACTTTATATATTTAGCATAAACTCAGCTCACTATGACTGAGTAAACAGTGAAACATTAAAATAAAAAAAATACATACATCATTATTGCAGGTTTCACACTTCTAAGTAGAAATACAATGAGGATGACATATTTCTCATACGTGTCAGGTAGTATCATATCGAAAGTACAGGAACTGCATGATAATTCGTACCAATAGCCCCCATAGCCGAAAACTGGAGCATATGTATACAGGGTAGTGAAAAACAGTGAACTAAATAAATATAACACGTAGTGCTTTTTCTGTATCGGCCAATCTGGAAATTGTTAATATGAATTTATAAATTAGCAGTATAAATTCACATGCAGAATTTTCATAATAAATTAAAAAAATACAAATTTATTACCATTAGCAGCATACCGAGCCACAACAAATCTCTCAATGCAAACATGATTCAAAGTCTCAACTTCTAGTATAGCAAAGAAAGTCTCATAAAAAGCGAAAACTATGCAGGAAAATATAGGTAATTCGAACCAGCTGAAATTATAAGAAATGTAGAGTTAGTTTCACAATAGGTTAGTTTAGGTACAGCATCAAGAATAGTAAATATTATATTAAAATCTTCTATTATACTAGAATTTTACATTAACATTATACCCTGGTCTTTCAGACGTTCATAGACTACGGTAACCGTTTACCATCATATGAACCGCATGCCGCATCATATTCGTCTCGGTTTTGCAAAAGCATTCGAAATAAAACACTTTTCGTATAATTAGAATATTAGTAATGTTAAATTATTATATATCATTTTTTAAATTACATATATAGGCATCATATTTTTATGCTACTTTTGCTCATTTGACAATCAACGCCATACAGTGATATTGTTTTCTAAGTAGCGATCTTTAGTTTTTTCATTATAAAAACAATATGATATTGCAGCGCTGATGGTGAACACAAATGTACTTTTAATGAATATTGCACGATATTAGTTAACAATAAACATATTACATATCCAAGTACTTGAATTTAGGCAGATAGGCCAAAACCGCAACCAGATTTCTCACTCCTGCAACCACCGTAAAGATAGTTAGGTTGCGATAACTCAAATCATACCATAACCTCGACGAAATAAGTGCCATGTTCAGCCAACAATTCAGTATAAATGAAACGAAACCTGAAAATTGGGAAACTATTAAAGTAAAAACATAAAACAAAAAATTTGTATATTAAATAATTCATTACCTACATATGACAATTTTAACGTCATTAGATAATGAAAGAATTAAGATTGAAAGAACCAGAATGATCTTGACCTGACCTGCACTGTGGATTGCAAAAAGATTTATCAAAATTACCGAAATGTTAAGTTATACAATTTCAAAGAAAGGAGAGCTGGCTCAAACTCAATAGTTCCATGATGTCTATTCGATATAGTAATAGTAATGAAATTGAAACTTCTAGTTAAATACAGATTAGGGAGACGTTGATGGCCCCCATCAAAAGAAGAAGCGGCGCCAAAGAAGTCAATTACATTCAGCAGAGGATTTAGAATGACAATAGTGAAAGAAACATGTACCGTACATTGAATATATCTCGAATAATTTCGTTAATTTACAATTATTTATTGGCGTTTAAAATTAATAACTGCATTACCTGAAAATACTAATCCATGATGTAGAAAAGTCCTCGAATTATCATCGAAATAGTCCTTCCACACACATTGATCGACTGGGTCTTTGTCGCCTAATAGAAAATACTGTACTAGACTACTCATTATAATAGACAATGATAATTAATTTGTATCTTTTTGATAAACTTTTTAATATTAAACGAAAACGCAGCTATCTATTGCAACAACAGACAACGAACAAGAATGCACTCTGCCATACCACTAATAAAATAATACTGAGCAGTAACTCATCTCACATTACATCTTCAGTAGATACAACTGCTCATGATACGCTCTACTATTTTATATTGTTCTCAACAATACAACTTGTTTCAACAATAGCTTAGAATAAAAATAAGGATACAGCTTATACTAAATGCACACTAACAAAGATACAAGTTAATACAGAATAAGTAGAATTTACTTTTGACTAATTCAAACAAGCTTGAAATTATCAACGATTTTATTTTTTATATCATACTATTATTTACAACTTTCAGATAACACATCGTAAGAAAAAAAAAGCTTTATATCCTTCTCGTCTATATTACAATTACAATGTATTCCTTAAGGCCATCAGTACAATTTCATCTTACTACCCTCCAGCGGCCGGGTAACTTTAATTTCAGTCTTGTCAGCCGGAATACTTCCAGCTTGGGGTCACAGTCTAGTCAGTCTAGTCTTCATGAGACTTGTCTCTATCTTTAGGCACTATTGAAGAGTTTCGCTCGTTCTGGGTGCAGCAACGCATAATTTTTGCGCATCCGCCCGAGCAGCGCAGCACGAATCCTCTCGTCACAGATCAGATAGCACAGTACAGGTATACTGGTCGCTGCCTGAAATTTTTTTATACTATTTTCATCACATCATTACAATAAGACGTTTTTTTACTCTTTTTGTACTTCGCAGTAATTATAAATTTTGTAGACGATTGCTTCACATACTCATATCTATACACATTTTCTACTTACTTTAATTACTTAATTAAATACAATCATTTTATTTATTATATGCAATCATTTTATATTCTATTCAATAATAATAAATATATGTAAGTAAATGTCGCCTATAAATTCATCAAATTTAAAAAACAACTTTAAAAAAAACACGGCGGTAGTATTCTTTGAAGTCCTTGGACAGAATTTACTAGAAAATAAATATCGACTCTATACCATTTATTTTTGGTAAAATAATATTAAATTTTATTCACTTAATACAAATAATAATGCTATATTCTACAATATTGTTTTTCATTCGAATTTATATATTAAACAACTACGGCATATTGCTTACAGAATAATTTACTTTATTTTTTACAATAATTTTCATGTAAATCAAATTAAAATTCATAAACCAAAGAAGGTATGTGAATTTTAATATGTACTTATTTAATACTCTTTGTACTCATGAATATCACAACTGTAATTGAATTGTAAAAAAAGGTTGAAAAGTGATAAGTTTTAAAGAATATTTATTTTTATACTATTAACCCGTATGTGAAGAATTATAAAAATATTATTATTCAAAAGTGCTGAATATTAAATTAAAATTGAATAAGGATCATTACTGGTCTCTCACCTCTGCAGCTATCGGTGCGATGAGTGCCAAAGCAGGAGGCACATGAGGCCTGTATCCGTATGCCACCAGAGGTATCCATTGCCAGATTGCTAGCACTGCACTTGGAACCCATAACGCCAATGTTGCTATACATAGTGCATGAGCACTCTGTAACAGTAAGAGATACTAAAAAATCTTACATTCTCTCGAGTGATAACTTGGTACAATATAGTATGAAATGAAGTGATGACTCCAAGCTATGGTCTAAAGTCATTGTTACTAGATATATTACAGTTCTGATGATAAACATGACTAATATGTGGTTAAGTTTATCAAAAATATTTTGAAAACTGTTTCGATGGTAATAATAAACTTAGTACGAAGTCTTCTGCTTTGACTTCTGTTCTAGGTGACATAGGGCACTTAAATTATATAGTATGGAGACAGGATACCTCCAGATTGGTATCTTATAAATGATATTGTTATTGGATGATGTAATATCGGTGATACTATTCACGTACATAGGCGATGGTTTTTACGTACCATCTGCTAGGTCCTCAGCTCAGAAGACAAAAAAAATTGTTAATAATTTTACTGCCGTAACAATAAATTAGATACCTTCGTAAGACGCTTCTGTTCTTTCTGGTGTTCACTTCTATAATATATTTTCTCTAAACGTACAGCTTTTCCCATGTAATAAAATCTGAAAGAAAATAATGCATTTTCAAAATATTATGTACCTCTCCATTTGTCAAATATGTGAGTCAAAAACATTAAGACTGAACGTACATGGCTGTCACCGGGATTACTCCACACACAATGACGTATGGTATGCTGAATCCGATATGTTTTATTCCTGATGAAAGCGAGGGCCACAGAAAAGTGCACGAGGTACCCGTGGCATCGCAGGAATAGATCCCATAACCGAACAAAGGCGGCGTGGCGAACACAAATGAAGTGAACCAACACACACCAAACAATGTCCAATACAGTTGGATGTATAAAGATTTCTCTGTAACAATGCAATTACGATGGATGTAATTAATATCTTGTAAATGTGTGATTAATTTCATTTAAGAATTTATTAATTTATATTTTTTCATTAACATTATAAAATAATTACTTAGTCAATATGCTACTATGCTGAACTTAATAATCATCTACAATACATATTGTATGATGATTGACAATGTTTGCCGAGGATGTACAATAAAAAATACTTGTTATTGGAAGTATTGACAATTTATATAGATTTACTTCAAATAAACATAAAGATAACTTACCTTTTCTGTAGAGTTTTGCTTGTAAGTATCTTTCTAATACAATAGCGAATAACGCGTACATTTGATATATGCCAAGGAATTGGTTCAGAAACGCAAATAGTTTGCAACATGCTGAACCAAATAACCATCTACAATGAAATTATATAAATAAAGTATAGTAATTAAATTATATATAATATACCATTATATAAATATTGCACCATACAATCAAAAGTGAATTGAAAACAAATTATTAAAATATTATTTGGTTTTGCGTGTATATATACTTAATATCTAATTCGCAATTTTATATTAATAATTCAAAATTAATATCGTAGTATATAAAGCAGTTATACCATATTATTTTTAATTATTAATATATAATATCAGAAATTGTAATTAAAAAATATTTTATCTTTTCTCGATCGACTTCTAAATTTCAACTAAAGCTTGAAGTCTTTTCGCTAGTTACAATATACACTAAGTTTTACGATTACATTTTTATAGAAAGAACTTACTCTGTTTATTCTGATGTTGATCCATATTAATTTACAATAAAATTGATTGTAATTTTTTATTACTCAGTGTGGTTCTATATAACATTGCGTTGTGTGGGAGGGAAAGGGGATTATTAGTATTGTAGACTGATTATCTTTTTGCTAGCAATGTGCCATGTCAGGTTGACCTCTACACGGTTCCCCTGGAAACTATGGTGATAAATTCTTTGTGAATTTGCCACGATTGTCTAATTGACATGACCTCATGCTCATCTTATAATCCTCCACTGGTGCCCCGCCAGCATAAACTATTATCGCAGGCAGATGCACCATTCCTTTATCACCCATAAAAAAAAATTGCGTTTTATAGATTCTAGGTTAACGGAATAACGGAACTCTCAATTACTTAGCTTACCTTTTTGCTAATGCTGATGTACCCGAAAATGGAAATCCTAGAAGGTTTCTGCCAAGTGATACGGAACATAGATTAAGTACCAATATATGACTCTTAAATATGAGCAAGTGGCTATGGACGAATGTGGCAAAAAGCCAACCGTTTAACAGCACCCCGAATACACCTGTCAAAATAACCATATTACAGCGAAGTAAAAATATTCATAATAAATTATCAAAATGTATAAAATTAAGAAAACTAAATATAAATGCGCATTACTATTTTTAAATCAAAGCAAATCGTCACAAGTACGTCATAGTTTCCGCACGCAACATATAAAGATTTTGGAATGTTCTAGTCCGAACTCTGACAGCAATAGCAGAGTACGTTCCGATTCTGAAGATACATTTTCACACTAATTTTAATAAATTTATTTAACGGAGATAGGAAATCTTTTTAGGAGTTTGCTATCAGTCGAAAAACATGACGTAACATCGCAGTAACTACCATGGCTATGTTATTTTTGCCAATATTGGGTATCTTTTATACCAGATAAACGTATTTTAAATTTAAAACCAAATACAATATATAGATAAATCAATAAAAATATATGTAGATCAATTAATTTTTCATCACTAACCAAATAAAATCAGACAAGAGCCGAGCAACGTTTTATAGGAACTGTCAAAATAATACCACGGACAGTCATCCTCTGGATAGTCGAACATGTGCATTCTTGGATCACTACTTTCAAATCACTGATATTCAGTCACCAATGGTGAACACCCGATATTTAGGACATTTATTATTCATTTAGTTTAATTCTTCTCCGAATATGACGTCCACATTAGACAAGAAGACATTGAGACTGGTCAGGTTGTCGAACCAGCGAGTTTGAACACAAAGGGTAAGATCATGTTACTAGTCCTGTCGCCACTTTATGCTCAACATTGGGGGCGTGAATGTTCATTATACGTTAAACAACTAGTTTTAGATTATAATTAAGTAAAAAATACCTCTAATGATAACTGGACGAATACTACGATAATTAATTTCCAATATTACGTAGATATGTATAAGTATGTTGGAAAACTGGCATTAAAGCTAAAATGTTATCTTTATTTCCAAATTTAGAGTTAAATATAACTCTGTACATATGTACATATTTGTCAGGAAATATTATTATTGTTATATCGTAATAGGTGAACTTATACAAATCAAAAACTATTTAGTAGTATACATTTTTTTCGTAAATGCATACAAAATATGTAGCAAACACGCAGACCTATACAAACAATAACAAAATATAATACTTAGGAATAGAAATGAGAGAAATCGAATCCGACCATCGGAAAAAAAGCGAAGTGCTAAACTACTAGACTTCCGAAGCCGGCATTAGGCATTTATAGTATTAGTACAGATAGTAACAACGACAAATATCATATATATCCATACATATTGTAAATTAAAGTTCCCCGCCAAGTCTGTTTGTATATGTGCGATAATCTCGAAATGTCAATTAATTGAAATACTCATGCGAAGTTGGTGCGGATCGCTAGTAAGATAAAAGCCTACTAAGTAAGATAAAATCCATACTTCTTCCGCACAGAAAATAATAATATGATACTACTATAATAATATGAGGTTAACAATATTTAATATTTATTCATTTGTGTCATATAAAATTTGCTTATACCTATTTAGTAAAAATTATATCACGCAGGTGCATAGTAATTATTTTCTATGGTACTATAACATAAATATTATTGCAGTGTACGAAACCCGTGTTATGTATTCTTTCTGATAACATCATAAGTAGGTATCACATTCAAAACAACAGTTGGTAGTTGATGTATTAGTCATTTTATTGCATTATGCAAACCACAACACATATAATGAGGAAGAATTTGTAATGCGCGTAAACACACTTATCATCGCTACAATTTAATATATAAACTGCAATTTTTTGTTAACATATTGCCCAAAATTTATATTAATAGAGACCTGCACACTTTTTTGAGTGTAACATTTATATATTATAGCTGTTACCCGCTGTTTGGTATGTGGATTTAACATTTTTTTTATTAAATTAAATAAAAATCGAAAGCATAAAGCCTAAGTTACTATCTTATATTATAGAGCGATATAGTGATTGACAGACAAAAAAAAATATTTTTTAATGATAGTAACGTATTTATGCGCATTTAGAAAAAAGCTGTTAATTTAAAATTGTGATCAAAGACTTAAATTTTATTTATTTGTAGTACATTTAAACGGTACATACTTCGAAGGTCTAAGTATAACTAAATTAGTTAATACGCATTTTATACCTGCACTAAGTTTGCTAATACTATTAGTTAATATTATTTATATAATTACCATTAAATACTTACATACTAATATACTTATAAGATAGGTAGTTGCATTCTTTACTAGTCAAACTTTGAATTGTGTAAATTGAAATATTCAAATTATACATATCCTAACGATAAATTCTAATTATAGAAATCGACAATATAGAGCGAATGCTTTATTTCAAACAAATTGAAGCTAACGTTTCCGTATTCGTATATGTATAGGAATACCTCTGACACTCCCCAACCAATCGTTAGATATTTTTATATATTTGACCTGAGCACAGAGCGTCTACTAATATATTTTACTTACTTCACACGAATTTAAAAATAAACTACCTACGTGGTTTATATAACGTGAATTTTAATTTTTAACTCAGATGACAGTTCGTCTTTCACAAGACTCAAACGCGAAGGTAACCGCTGTATTAACACATTCTGTTATATGACCTGCTTATACATACATATTGTTTAGTACGTAAATTGACCGATCAGTTACAGGCCTAATCGGAATTACTATATTGGCTTGGCAACACCCGTGAAACATACGTCAGGTGGTTACGCTCTACAATTACAACGTACGCCGCCGGCGCACGTCGATCGGGATGCGGAAAAGATCTGAATCGAATTTGTCTTGTTAATGTCACATCCGAACGCTGACTAACTCGTGTTATCAAACGCTGATTTGTATACTCGCATTGAGTACGCAGTGCAGTACTGTCGTCGGCCAGTCACGGCAGGATGTTATCGTTGGAGCAATTGGCGCAAACGGTAAAGGAACACCTCGGACTCTATACGCTTATTGAGGGTACACAATATACCAGTAAATGGATTATTACCGAATCACCATTTGGCGGTAGGGGATTATTTGCAACCGAAGACATAATGCCAGGTGATGTTCTTTTTGTAGATCATCCCCTCATACGCGGCCCACGGTCTGGTTCCACAATACAAAGAGGATGCACTATTTGTAACAAATTGGAAAGCGACGAATTTTTTAAATGTTCCAAATGCTGCTTATTACTGTGCTCCGAACAATGTCAGAACACTACCAGCCATGAAGACGACTGTGATATAATATCAAGATGGACCAAAAAACTACCTACCGAAGAAATCGATGATAACGATCGGATGGCGGTTAGTGCTCTTGATAAAAATCAAGAGCACTAACCGCCATCCGATCGTTATTGCTGAATGAAGACCAAAAACAACTTATGATTTCACTAGAAGCACATATGTTACCGCCACATGGAAATGAAATTACGCGTCTCAAAAAGTATTTTGACTTTTCGGACGAAGATGAAAAACTAATGATAATCGCATGTTGCGCTCTCGATGCAAATGCATTTCAAATAGCATCAGCTTTCGGTGTTAAAGAAATGAGCACACGAGGTTTATATCCAGTTGCAGCACTTATGAATCATCGTTGTGTGTCTAACACGCGGTACACTTTCAATAGCGATTTACAAATGACGGTCAAAGCAGTTAAACCAATTAGATCTGGAAGTGAAATATTTACATGTTACTCTGGCACATTATGGGGAACTCCAGCTCGGCGAACTTACCTTTATAAAACAAAACATTTCCTATGTAATTGTGAACGTTGTGCCGATGCTACCGAATGTGGTACACTCCTGGCTGCTCTCAAGTGCTTCGTTACGGAGTGTCCTGGCTCTATGCTTCCTGTGGAACCACTGAAACTATCAACACGATGGCGATGTTTGGAATGTGGTTTATTTGTTCCAAGTAAAAATATTTGTGCAGTGCAAGGAGCTCTAGGAAGTCTAATGGGTACCTTAGACTTTAATAATGTGAATGAACTAGAATACTTTCTTCTAAACCGTATTATAAAGTTCATCCCGAAGACAAATCAAATTGTGGTCGATCTGCAATGCCGCCTTATATGGGAACTTGGGGAGTCTGAAGGACTACGTTGGCATGGTAAGTTTCGAATGCTTACGTATTTTTTGTGTTAGTTGCCATACTCCATATAGTAGATATAAATACTCGTACATACAAAGACATTTTCTGTGTAAGTGTTCTCGGTCTTGGCTCGCTTCACCAAATGACAGATTCATTTATCTGGATCTCTAAGATAAATTATAATACCTACGGGTATCTTATCGATATACTCATTTATAAAATATTTCATGTCGGCATAGTTTTGGTTTATAATGTAAATCTTCTACTTATATAATATTATCCCAATTAATTCTCAACCAAGAATGCGTGAAGATACAATAGTGCGCCCAGCGGAGGAACAATTTGGATTTTTAAAAATATTTTACGGATTATTCAAAATCTGTGCCTAAATAGCATGAAATGTATATGAAATGAGAGTTAACTTTAAGTACAAGCATGTCATTATTAATATAATAGTATTACGTAATTGTCTCAAGACTGCATATAAAATAATGCTATGGCTATAAAATATACTGCATATGCAATAATGTTCACGCTTAATAATTATGGTGGCATTCGTAATGCACTCCTGACTACACCCATTGTTTTCGACAAATATTGATAGTTTTGATAAGTTAGATATAGGTATACCAGAGATATAAAACCAAAATCTGCGTCGGTACCTGACGGAGTCACTTCTTTGTATGCTGTGTTACGGTCGAGTTATTAGACAATAATTCTTAGCATATCTCTTAAGACAACAACTTTTTTAAAAAATAAGACAATATTAGGATAGCTACTATTTTATTAATTCAGGTAACATTATGCTTATTTAAATGTAGAGTAATATTTTTACGTGAAACAGTACTCACACACCAACACTGTTTATAAACCATCAATAGAATTCAGTTTCCCTTGCCAATTCATTCCAAAAATACGACTGTACATTAGTCCTATTTTCCTTATGATTTTATTATATGTAGCTACCAGCAAATATTAGCTATACAGCAGGATTTTCCTATATTATTTTATATTTAAAATACATTATATATAAAAATTAATTATTTTATATATATAATAAATTATTTTATAGCATTAAATAATCGATATCACATAACGATATATATGTAGGCAATTATCGTACCGCGTGTTTCACGCTTTCTACAATTTTGGCATGGACAAACAAACAGACCAAAATCGTTTGCAAATAATTTATTGGATTCATTCCTTCTATAATAAAAGTTAAGATGTAAACTGCCATTAAAATAAAGATATGTGCTTGTCTATTAAAACAAAACTAGTAGATATTGAAAATTATATATCCAATGGCAAATCCAATAACCGTATAAGTACTTATAAATACGGAATCTATTTTGCAATTACCATATTTCTGTACACTTTTGTCCCTTTTGAACAACAAAATAACTCCTGATTTTCTTGTAATCCTTAACTGTATTCCTGTAATAATACAGCACCTATAATGAGGCATAATTACTTAAGAAAAATTATTGTAACACGCAACTTACACAACTAAAAATATCAACATACAACTTTAATAACTCGAAGCGTAGTCGTAAACTGTACATAAATCGCAAAACACATACGTTACGTAAGAATCGACACGTAAGCCGGATTCACGAAACAGATGGAATTCAGTTATTCCAGGCGCTATTTTCACAGCGGGTCAGGTACATTGTACATCGTTGAGAGAAGTCAGTCCGCCGCGGTTCGTTACGGGTCCCACAATAGAATAACGCTGAATGATATTTCATTCATAGCAAACAACATAAAAAATGCAATAAATCATCTTAGAATGGATGCCGAATTTACGATACATCGTAATTGGGCCATTAAGAAGTCATATATCGGCGGGAGAGGAATATTTGCAACTGAATTCATAAAGAAAGGTTCACTTATATTTTCCAATAAACCAATGGTTATAGGCCCCCGTGCGGATTGCGCAGCTAAACCTTTCTGTTCCATTTGTTTCATAATCAGTGATTATTGTTATCCCTGTGATAAGTGTTCTTTACTCATTTGCTCCAAGCAATGTGGAACATCACGAGAACATACCAAAGAATGTACTTTCATTCTTGATTATTGGAAACCGAAACCACACTTTGCGAAAAACTGGAAAGTCCTCAATCGAATGTTGATATATTTGCATTTTCTTACATTAAACAAAGAACAGAGACAATTGGTATTATTTTTGCAGAGAAATGCTGATCATTCAGACTTTGAGGAACTACAAACACTACGCACTCAATATGAAATACCTGAATGTCAAATAAAATATATTCGAATGACAAACTCTTTGTTAAAGTTTAACTCATACCGGATTTCCGAAAGTTATTGTAAGAAAAAGGTATCCTTACGCGGCGTATATCATTTGTCATCTTTTCTTAATCACAGCTGTGTACCGAACACTAGAAGTGTATTTGAAAAAGATTATACAATGTGCCTATATGCAAGTAAGGACATTGATATTGGAGATGAAATATTAACCTGTTACACGGGAATATTGTGGTGTACGCCCGTAAGGCGTTGTCATTTAAACAAAACCAAGAATTTTTGGTGTAAATGTCGGAGATGTGAAGACCCTACGGAAATGGGTACACGGTTATCAGCCCTTAAATGTTCGAATAAGGAATGTATTGGTGTCCTCATACCTTTGTTGCCGTTGAACCCGAGAACTGAATGGCGTTGTGACAACTGTAAGACAATAGCAACACCTCACTATGTGAACAATGTGCAAAGTATGCTGGGTAGCTTAGTTGGAACATTAGACCTGGACGACAAATTTCGATTGGAAACAATCGTATTGGAAAGACTATCGAATTTCATACCTTATTCGAACCATATTTTTATTGATTTACGTTTAAGATTGGCCCTAAGGATTGGATTTACCGAAGGACTAAATCTGAATGGTATAACGAAATGTATTAAAATAAAAATATTACTTATACTGCGATGCTATCTATTTGTATGCGTACTAACACTAATATCTAATAAAAAATTAATACTTGCTTCTTTGTTTATTTTAATTACAAAATAAATTATTGGCTATAATATAATATAAATACAATGAAATTTTTAATAATTAGATATTAGATACTTATTTTGACAATAATTTATAATAAAATTAATTTGCTTTTGTTTGATCTTATTTTTATTTGATCTTATTAACATCAATTCATTTTTGTTTAACACCTGTCCGCAATATCTACATGTTAGCACTGCCCTGACTGTTAAGAGAGAGAAAAGCATACCTATATACGTAACTATATATTATAGTAAATAATATTAGTTTTGTATATATATAATAATGTAATATATATATAACTAATATTATTTACTACCAGGTAACCAATTGAAAATTTAATGAATATATTTTAAAAAGACATCACCAGAACAGTCAGTGATCAATTTCATCCGATTTCATAAAGGAATAGGCAGTATTTGTTTTTTTGTTGAATTTTACCTAACCACTTCAACTACAACTCGACGACTGTACTAGTCGTTTTTTTATTCTGTTTATAATTTTGCTTTCCAAATGATGCCAAATATTGATAATACAAAAATATTATGTACTGTAGACTCTATTGCTTTCTCTATGTTTTAAAATACACATTTATTTGAAAGATAAATTTATACAAGTATTTTCCACTTCGACGTCATAAGAAAAATATTATAATTTCAATATTTCACATGTGCGCTCGAGGAGACCATCACAATATCACGAAATGAACAAGGGAAATGTGAGATTTATTTTCTCAATTAACATCAAAAGATGAGATTCTCAATAACATTTTTGTGTGGTTTTTAATGTACTTATATATTGTATATCTAACTATATGTTGGTTATTGTTACTATATCCTATAATTATTGAGGATTTTAATAAAATTATATATAAAATAGATTTTTTATATTTACGATTGTTCATCAATTGTTACCTACTCGCCTCATCTATTAACCCCAAAAACATAATAATGATAGACATATTTTAAAATGAGGTTTCAGTATAAAGTAGGTCGTCGTTGACGTATTTTCCATGGATTGAAGACAGTTAATGTGACAGCTCATGTACTTAACATTTCATTGCAAAAATTTTTAAAGCATGATTAATGGTAATATACGAAATTTATTATCATCTTATACTGCCATACATAACAAAGAAACTGATAGTTCTGCAGTCTATAAATAAATAAATTGGGTCATGTTCAAAATATTCGGTACGATTATTTTAAGAGCTTCCTATATTTTCCTATTTATGATATTCGTATTTTTGAAATAGTTTTATAGTTGTATGTAAGTGCAAAATATGAATAATGTAGGCAGTTTTAACCGCCAACAATATAATTCTCGTAACGTGCTTTAATATTATTAAAAATAAATTAATATCGCCTTTTATTACATCATTAAGGCGGCCCCGGTGGTCTAGTCGTTTAGCATACCACTTACATTCCGATGGTCGCGTATTCTATTGCACTTGCACAGAACATATATTTATATTCATAAATTTTGTTTATTATTATTTGTATTGGTCTGGATGTTTTCTGTGTATATTATGTGTGTATTTACAAATATAAATTAAGTACGAGTATGTCGATTAGTGGTCTAGTATCCACAACACGAGTTATGGACCTGAGTTATTATTTTTATAAATTACTGGAATGCTAACGTATGAGTAGTATCACAGGTCTCATATGACGTGTTGTCCATAATGTTGTTAATGTATATAAACGACGACTACCGCTTACTACCAGGTGAGGTATTATCATTTCAATTACTTACATAAAAAAATATTTTATAAATGATCATAATAATGTTTTACGTAATTAAGTGTAAGACTTGTATCGTATTATGCTATATATGAAAATCTTTCAAAAATGTATCCCTGTTTGTCTCGGTATGGTAATTTTTAATATAGTTGAAATGATTTAAAATTTAGAAGTTGAACAAAAATGTAAATAATAACTCAAAGTATTTTTAACATGCCGCAAAACGGCAAATATCATCATTATACAGTCACATTTACGATGCTTAAGTGAGCTCCGCCCACAAACAACTGGTGTTACATTTCTAGAACAAATTGCGGTTGCCGCGAGTCAAGGTTTATTATTAAATTAAATCATTAATTCATATATCAGCAATATAATGCTTTATCTATATCAAATGTATCACTATTGGAATGCACTCAATTAAATCGAATGTAGAAAATAAAAAGAACAAAAAATATAACGAAATTATAGCACCAGTTTTCAGATATACTTAATTAAAAAATGTAATTATTGTTTTCTCACTGGTGGAATAAAATTTGTTTATGATTAAACACTTGGCAGCAAATATACCTAACGGGAAATTGTATATATCGCCATATAGTTACATGGGTATTGCACCTACTACTAGGTAACTATAAGGTCTAGACAAAGAATTGAGGCCGTCAGAAGTCATACAAAACAATAATGGAAATACGCCACAATTCCAGCTCTTGCAATATCTTATTTGTTAGCGATACGGCTAGTGCACAAGTGGGACTGGATAGCACCTCAACCAAGGCGATTACTATTCAAATAGTTACAAACGTACGTATATTACCTACTTTATTCGCCTGCCTTTGCATGTATATAAACAAACTGCTATTATATTATATTAGAGTCACATGATTGATAGAAATGGCATAAAATCTATAAGTTAGTTTTCTCTTTAGATAAATGACTCTAATGGGATAAACAGACAGTGAAAAGGGAATTTTTAGAATCAAAACGAAATATTACAATACGGAAACAAGCTCAAAAGTGATATTGAGATAACAGGCTTCAATTATTGAATCGGTAATACCGTTTCACAAACTAACGACGAGCATCTGGTCATTACGCTTGCCAAAATATGTGAATTAGTTATAGTGGTAATAAACTCAGTTATTTTTATATTAGTTATTATTATTATTTATATCCGTAAATAACTTTTTCTGTTTATTAGATAATATTTTAAATGATTATATATAATCTCTCATACAATCCTGGCCAAGTAAATTTCATGGAATTTATTACATATTCATTATCCTTCTTTGTTTGCGTTTTGCCTAGACTACCTACCTACCCAGACAACACCAATTAAAGTATTTAAAAACTCCAGTTATGAAATATGTAAATATTGTATATCTCTTGTAAAACAAAGACATCCCCGCTCCATTTTGCGTCGTTACGTTATCTGCGTCATTCCATAAGGTTATGACTGCGTAAAACAATATGCCCCTGTATAAATTATGCAGTTAGTATTGCATCGTACGGTCAGAATAGCGTGTCCCGACATGCGACGAGTAGGTACTACGCAACAAGTGAATAAAATCGGGGACGATAACATCGTGGGGGCAGTTGTCCGATTGAACGCCGATTGACATGGGCGCCGCCGCGAAGAATCCGAGGCCTCACGTTGTGTCCAGGTGGATTTGTCTGCCTGTGCCGTTAGTACTTACACGTGATACTTACTCCTCTTATTACATTGTTTGTAAACATCGCTGCACAATGATTAATTAATATTTAATTTACTTAGTTTGATACTCTTTGACAGTATCCGTTAGTTTTACATTGTTAACTACCTACCTAGTGCACATATTTGCACGGTGCGTAAAGGTATTTGCCAATGTATAGTATAATTTGGCTCTTGTGTACATATAAATATTGAAAGATCGATGTTGACACTGTGTTAACTTGACTAAGTTATCTTTGAATGTATAGTGGCGCGTCAAAAGGTAAATAAGTAATCAATGTTGTTCTAAAATCAAAGTGTGTGATCTAGTTGGCGTCTTGCCGTCGTTATCTGTCGATGAAGGTCTGCGTTTTCTATCTTGCCAACTATTTCTATTATACCAATGAACCGTTCGATCAACTTCGATCACCTGACTGAAAGTGCTTCAGATTGATATATTTTACAAACATGATTGCATCATAAATCATTATCCAATCCATTGTCACTGACTGACCTAACGACTTAAGGATATTTAAAAAATACCTGATTTACTCCTATCCGCAGATATATATATATGTATATATACCAATAAAAAGCATACTGAAATTAAGTTGAATGAAGGATCTCACTGTTCTCCCTGTACATCAATGCTTCAGTTAGAGTAACTAACATTTTCTTTATACTATACCTACATTATTAACTACCACTAATAAAAACGAGTAAACCTACCAAACCTATAAATCAAGGATTATAATATAAACAGGTCTTTATTTGATTACATACTTATTTCTAAGAATAATTCAATGTTATAGCCAAGTAGCCGACAACTAAAAATTTTTATATCCTCATCATCATTTGTATAAAACAAAGTCGCTTTCGCTATCTGTCCCTATGTATGCTTAAATCTTTAAAACTACGCAACGGTTTTTGAAGTGAATTTTTTAATAGATAGTGATTTTAGAAGAAGGTTAATATATATAATACTCGCCACGGCTTTGCCCTGGTAAACATATATACATTTGCCCGGGTATACACCCGGGCAATGCCGGGGCGAGTAGCTAGTCAATTTATATTTCTTAATTTCTCCAATTATGGAAATAGCGACAACACATCAAAATTATTTAGAGACAGCGAAAATGCCATGCCTGCCACATTACATTCAAATATACGCAGCGAAATATGTATATGTGTCATAAGTGTCCCCACAACGTGCCACGTCGACAGTCGACAACGCGCCTGACTATCCCATCTGGCATATCATTTATGAAGGTGAAAGTGCATTAGATATTATTAAAGTTCATAAAAAAAATTGCTGGTTTCAGAGCTGTCGGAGTCACGACTGTCGCTGAAAGAGAGCCTTTGCCGAGGCACGCTGCGCACGGTGGCGGCGCTGGGCGTGGGCGATGCGCACCTCCGCGGCCTGCTCCTCTACCATCTCCACGCCGTGCTGGCAGAACGCGCCAGGCGCACTCCAGACCTATATGAGGTAATTCACAATGACGAAAAACTCACAATACACTCATTCACACTTAATAATAAAAGGCGTTAACTCGAGTGCGGGGATTGTTAATAATAGAAATTAGTGACCTTATTGCTAGTACCTAAAGCCTATAGGTCAGGTCGATGTCTGGTCTTCCTCAACGTGGGACTTACGGAAACTTTATAGTAAATTTCTGGTGTATTCTATAAACAAAGAGGTGAAATCAGACTAATATACATCTCTTTATATATAATATAACTACTTATCTGTACAAGTAGGTAGATAATAAACAAAATCAAAATAACCAATGGATACTGTTATTTTCCACTTCAATTGACAAAACATAACAGTTTATAGCAATAATTTCACAATGTGTGTATAAATAGAATAGGATCTTGAACTAGATTTGTTATTGGAAAAATATATTTTTTTACTAATTCCAACACATGCTTCTAAACTTCGTCCAGACGCGATAACAGTCGTAAGAACCATAAACTAAATATATATAATAGATATTCTAATGCCTGTAAGAACGATCATCTTGTATCCATTCTGTACATACGTATACACTTCGTTGTTTATTAATTTATTCCATTTATAAATATCACGAATGCCACTAAAATAACGAGTCACGCTGTCCGTTTTCTTTGTTTCTGTTTTAAAGATGTAGTGTTCTATATTGAGAAAAATGCTGACTTACATTAGAACACCTATGCATAGTAATATTTTAAATGCGAAAGTTTGTCTGCCTATCTGTTTCTTACCTTTTCACAAGTACATTTTAAAGAAAGACGTGAATATAGATTCTATCACGAGGACGGTTATAAACTATCTTTTATCTCTGTCGCCTATAAAAAGGCGGACAAAGTTATATTGTAGAAAATGGCAACAATAGCACTATAATGTGTATTTTATAACATATAAATAATAGGTACCTTTTCATTCGTAAATACACAAAAATAGAGATATTTATTTGAAAAGTATTCTGGTTAGATAGGTGACCATCTACTGAAGACTAGTTGTATTTTACTATACTAACATTATGAAGAATTTTTTTAATACTTTTACAGTTTATTACAGTGACATAACCTATGTCATTCGTATAATTTTTTTGATATACCTATACAAAATTCATAAATTTATGCGTACTTGGGCGAAACCAGGGGTGGTGACTAGTAACTTATAATTTGTCCGTTTCCAGGAGTTGAAATTTGAAATTGAGAGTACGATAGAACAAGCCTACAACATACTGCAAGGCGATATATCTGCGCCACCAGATCTTGAACTACGTCACCAGTACCTCGGCCCCGGCTGTGATAAATCTCATGAAGAGAGATTTTTTATCCTTTCCACCTAAATTAAAATATGTTATACCGAAGCGTGGATATTTAATAAATCAATGACAAGCATTTAGTTGGTGCATCGAATTCTTTAATTCTCGTATTTTTTAATTTAATGTTTTTAGTTCATATTGTTTTATAATAAAAAATGTATTATATTTATTGTTTTTGTTCCTAGTTTGAAACTAAAACTTTTACTTACAGTCACTGTGTTCACAGTGTCAGTCGTAAAGGTTGTATACAAAAACCTTACAAGATAGTCATAAAACTAATTTCCCTAACAAACAAAATGAAAAACTGAAAACAACTGTTTGTACTAAATTGGTCACGTGACCGCACAGGTTGTATGAAGATTTTAAAAAGATTAAACACTGCTTTTTGGAAATTTTGTTCAGTGTGACTGTAACATGATTATTTTAGTCTACCACATCACTATCGTCACTACTACATCTACTCTTTTCAAAAAGCCCCCTATAAACATGAACAATCAACACTTCCGTGGTGTGCATATTATGAATTTTACTGACCACTGCGATAGATAGGCTTGCTACCAGTAGGAAGCCTTTTACAAGTAGCTTTTATCCGTAACGTAATGGCAAACTGCAGATAAATAGAGCAGTGTAGGGCTTGCAGCTCTATAAAAAACTAAGTAGATAGGTAATGGCGAATCCACTTAGTACCGAGCCATAATATAAAAAAACATACTGTTATGGCCGTCAGTTAGTCACTAATCTGTCAGTGATGTCAGTCAACTTAACTGATAAGATGCTACGGTTTATTAGTATTAATGATAAATAAATAATAACCTGATAAAAATATCAAATAAATTTATAAATATCCAAACCCGTGATTCAGTTACTGTATTTAATTATTTATTAAACGTTATTTATATTGAATTTTAATTTGATAAAACAATTTGTGGCGATATGTAAGAATTTATGAGTTGTTTTTGTTTTCAAAGAATTTGATAGATATAGTTATAGATAAAGCACGTAGTGTTTTCTATTTTGCTGATGTGTTTTCCAATATTCAATGTGCTAGGGTAGTAGTATGAATTAGAATAATATAGACATATTATTTCATTTTCAGAATTGAAGACTTCAAAAAAGATTTAAACTTATAAAATGGCAACCATTCGTCAAGCCTTACTACTATCATCTTCCAATTGCCATGGATATACAATGTTAGAATTCGCTAAACACGAAATTTGTGCCATACTGGAAAAGTAAGTAGTACATGCTGTTAAACCCTAGGTGACAAACACACTGCGCAATGCAGCTAATTTATTATGTTGCCATTTCTATTTTTCAACATTATATTCATTTCTGCTATGAAACTTATGTTAAAATTCAAGAGCATTAATTAAAATTAATCTCAAAATAAGCCATAACAACAGAATGGTTCCTATTTTAGCTTTACCTAATCCACTACCTTTGCCTAAAACTAGCTATTCATTGTAATCATGATTACTGTTAAGAACATTTCTTTATGGAACTATCTATTCTCCTGTAGTTCCTTCCACTAATTAATATATATTTGTCACATCACATAACTGTATCTAACTTAAAAAATATATTACTTATTATACTCCCCAAATAACAAATAAACAAACATCTGTTCCCAAATTATAAAAGATGTAATTAAACTTGTTTAGAACAGATACAATACCTTGATACTTTTCTTTAAACTATAAATATTAAACATTGTGTTTCTTTTATAATAAAATATTTATATAATAACTATTTATTTCAGAAACAATATAAAACAGTTACTCTTTGTACCATATGCACAAAATGATTTCAACTCTTACACATCTAAAATAAAAGATGTTATTGATCCATGGGGATTTGAAGTCTCTGGTATACACACTCATCCTGATCCTGCAGATGCTGTAATGTCCACAAAAGCTATATTCATTGGAGGTGGAAATACCTTCCTTCTACTAAAACGTCTGTATGAATTAAACTTAGTTGAACTCATAAGAAACAGAGTTAATGAGGGTAATTTGATATACATAGGAAGTAGTGCTGGTACAAATGTAGCTACCAAAAGTATACACACAACCAATGATATGCCGATTATATATCCACCATCATTTGATGCAATAAAAATTATTCCTTTCAACATAAACCCGCATTACTTAGAAACTCCAGACCCTTCAACACATAAAGGAGAGACTAGAGATCAAAGACTTAATGAATATATGGAAATGGACCATGCTGCTCCTGTATTAGGATTGAAAGAAGGAGCTATGCTACATGTAAATGGAGATTCCTTGGTTTTAAAAGGTGTCACTGGTGGAGTTTTGTTTAAAAAGTATGTATTGTTTTTGTTACATTGTTCCCTATAACCACACAACAATACTAAATACATAGTTTTCTGTTGAATATAAGATCCAATTTCATCGTAATCAGAAATACTATAGAATCAAAGAAATTTTTCAAAAACTATTAAGAATTAAATACAAAATTATATCCCAATGTGTAGTGGAAACTTGCAAACATTTAGTTACTTTCCTATTTAGAAAATTATCAATAATATTTATATTGACTTGGTACTCCACCAGTTTACTACACTTACACGATAGTTGATTCAATCCCTGCTCAAGCATTTGTATCAATATTATATAAGTTATCCATAGAATCAATAACAAAGAACATTAGTTCTGTCTCAACGCAGTACCAAAATTAAGTGTCATGTCATATTGAAATTACAACCAATAGTGTAAAACGCGCGCAGATTGATGTGCTTGCGAAGTTTTAATGTTATAAAATTTGTTTCTAATTAAATGTGTTTCGTTTCAGAGGTCATAAAAAAGTTGAATACCCTGTTGGAGCAGACTTAACATTTTTATTTAATCTACATGGGACCCACTAACGACATGTTATCATTAAACTTTTTATTTACATTTATATTAATAATAATGTATAAATATTGATATCAAGGAATACTAAAATAAAGTTGTACATTTTGGCTTCCAATTCGTGCATTTAATTAACATTTGTGATAAATATTACAAGTTTTAATACTAAAAATACAGAAAAAAATTGCAATTACAGTAAATAATGAACTGTTAAAAAGAAACAATACTATACTTAGAGGTTAAATATCAGACAACAACCACTACATTATTATACATATATAACTAGATTTAGTTCACACTGCTTTTATATGAAGTTAAACCTACTTGGCCACATAATAATATACCAACTGAAGCACAGTAAATGTTTCACAACTTCAAATCAAACCAATCACTCCAGCACGATTTTAGTTCTGATTTTAAATGAGTTTATATGTTCGTTGATCTATCACAATATCAATAATTTGACACTCCATATTTCTGTAAAATTTCTCAATGTATGCCACATAAAAATAACTACAGCTTCATCCAGACAGTGTCTGGATTCAGTGTCTTCGTCAGCCAGTGACAGGTGCTTGCATCAATAAGGCGCGAGCAGCGTGAAATAAGGAAGGTTGCGGTGTGACACGCGATTGTCCTGTCCGTTCCGATGCTGGTAAATTACATAGATATCGGCGCAATGCCAAATCACCTCTTGCACTCAGTCCACGTGTAATTTCACATCCAGAGCCAAATAGCATAGCTCGTTGGCGTTTTCTTTTTTCTATAGCAACCTGAAATAAAATAAGAAAGTGAGATGACATATCATACTTGCATTTAAACAGGTTTTATAAAACAAATTCTAGATATAATGTCGTGTTATTACTACTCTTATATATAATGTATGAATAGTGTAGTAAACTAATAACATGAATTATTAATTAATTTATCATAGACTAAATATCAAGTATTGAATACTACAGGAATAAAAATTATGTAAATGTAATGTCTCTTCGGTGTTGGAAAGACTACTACAACTAAAAATTTGTGTAAATACGGCAGGTTGCCTACTATGATAAGTTACGGCGTCCGACTCGAAAACGGAATGTATTTTGAGATAAATCCGCGTTTGTACACTATCTTTAAACCAATCAATGTAAAATAATAAAGCTCGACTACATGAACATATGCTTGACCTCTTGATATAAATTAAATTATATAGTGATAGTCAACATATAAAATTTTTACTCAACTCCTTTACTAATTACCTGAATAGCAGCCACAGGATGTAACGAATTTACATCCAATGAAGATTTTGCTTTCTGTTCATCATCCATGTCATTATTGCCATTTTGTTCCGCTTGACCTTTTTCTGAAATTCCTGTAGAGTTTGGTTCTGCAAGTTTTTCGTCTAATTGTACAGTATCTGCATTTTTGTGTAAAATATCTTGCACAGTATCCTTGCCAGCCATATGAAAAGATAAGCCAAGCCGCGCAAGAACTCGCTCTGGTCTCCAACGGTCCCGAGCACCACCTGAGGGGGTCGTTTGCTCACGACGTCGTACATCCGCAACAAGACTTGCCCAATCAACTCCCAAGGCATCTCCTAAACCAGCTAAAATAAAATGATAAATGAGTATAAATAATATAATGTTTTGTATATTCACCATATTAGATAATAATAATAGCGATAATATAAAAGCTCCAAATAAGATATTTGGATTGATTTGACATTGTGTGTAAGTATGTCATAAATTCCGTGTAATATTTTAATTTATTTAATAAATATGCATTTCTTTAATGCTACTGGAAAACTGGCGCCAGTTCACACAGAAATTGCTTTTTAAACACATATAGGAAGGCATATTAGTATTTATAACTAAGAGCAGATATTCTAGAAATGTAGCATTACACATAAAAATAAGCTTTATTCAAATAAACTTAATATAAGCACTTTGAATAGTCACATAATATTTATTTTATTCTGCTGTTTATTCAGAAAATAGACTCATCTTTAGAGGAACGCTCAAGAAACTTACTTTGAGAGATATGCTGCTCAGCATTCACATATTTAAGATTTCGTTTGAAGTAGCAGTACTACCAACTCTGATGACTGATTGACAAAACTAAATAAATAGAATAGTAATAAATATTTTATAATTCATATAATATCTTTACCTCGAGTTCGCTCTTCTTCTAATTCCCCATCTGATATTTCTTCAAAGTCCATATTGGTAACATCATCATCATCTTTAGCATCTTGAGACTCTTTTTCTTCTGCAGCACTTGTATCCTGTAATTGTATATTGTAGAAAAATGATTAAGTACATTTTTTGTAAAGGACTCAGTATTGGTGAAATACTTTTAAAATCAATGTCAATCTCAGTAACTTATTTATTTAATGATTTTTTGTTTTGTAATTTTATAACACAATAAAATATACTCTATTTAGTTGTTCCTTATTTTGTTATAAACCTGATTTTACCTGTGTTGATTCCTTTTCAGAGGTTTCAAGTTTAGATACAGTATCATCATGTGTTGCTGCGGTTTGACTGTCATCGTCAATGCTTTGATCAACCATCTGGAATATTACATAACTTATTTAAACTTTATCTAGGAATGACAGAACTCTTTCAAAGGTAGGCTCGCAAAATAGCTAAGTACTATACACCTTTTTTATGTACCCCATTTTTCTACGGTTCAAATGGTTGTTAAAAGAAATTATATACTATATTTGGCGCAACACTGAATGTTATTAAGCATCAATTTAAAAAAATTGAAATAATATATCTTGGTCTTCATACTATACTCATGACTGAGGGACATAACAATTGGTCGCCCTGTATCGCCCTAGTTTCCGTTTTTACAATATCTATTCATAGCATTAGTACCCTTGTTTTCTATTAATTAGGAAAACATATTCTCATAAATATGAATATATAGAAGTAAAATAAAAAGAAACTAACATCCTCTCTTTCGAGTATATCATCTGGATCATCGCTAATTTCACTAAGATCATCAGGTATGGGTTTATCGTCATTTTCAGTTTCCTGTCGGGCTGATGCAGCAGCTGGTTGTGCAATGGGTGGTGGAGTTTCTTTAGCCGGAGGCTCTTGTTCAATTCTAGGCAACCGTCTTTTGTTACTATCACCTCTACCAATATCCATCCGCATTCGCCCACCATACTCATCTATAAAGTAAAAAATAATAATTTATGTACTTAACTAATAGTTTATTTAATCTAACTACATCAGAAATTATATACTAACCATGCATCCGTCCACGATGAGATCCACCAGGCGGGTGACCTCTATGATGCCAGCCATCCATCTCGGCTTCTTTATCACCCCATTCATTCATCTTAAAAAAATACACAAAATTTACAAATCAAAGCCAACAAATAAAATGTGTTCTTCAATAATTAAAAACTGTCCATATATACCCGATTTATTTGTTAATTAATCGTATGGAAAAAATGTGGGTGAAAACATGAAGCCGATATACCTTACAGGAATTTTTATTGTTCTTTATTTAATTATCCGAGGGCTATTTCATCATTTGTTTCATCTAAACAGAATAATAGAATAACACAATACAAATTACGTAACCATTTTCTAGAAAACTAATATTTTTAACATAGTCTTTATTTTATTTCAATAATTATTAAAGAAATTATAATAAATATTAGAAAATTTTATAACTATAGGCAGAGGTAGATTTCAAAAAAGTGTATATGTGATAAATATGTTATTAAAAAGCACACATACCAAAATGAGGATAAGGACAGCCAAGGAAAATATGGGATAGAATAAAACAGGATATTTTATCATTTCTTTTACGGTAATCAATAGGTTCATTCCAATATGATGCTTGATAGTACAAACTCACCTAGAGTAGAACATCAGTTAGAAGTAAAACAAAGGAAAACTTAAATTTAATAAAGTATACAAAATAACAAGATGATTGAATACCTGTTCACGCATAGGCCAATGGCGTTCTCTACCCCATTCACCAGCAGGGCGGTAATCGTCATTCTCCCACTCTTTGTGCGAATGCATATACCTTTCACGATCCAGTGACGCTGATCGGCCCTCCCATGAATGATCACGATGCGGGCGACGTTCATCGTAACCTAGAATATTAAAGAAAAATTATAGTAACTGATACATTAAATCATCGTAATATCTATATTAAAACTTTAACATACCCATTTCCACACCTCGATGATCACCCATATGATCATTGTACATCCGGTCGTCATCCTCTGGATAGCCTCTGGGTGGTCCAGGCATATCATACCCAGGGTCATAGTGCCTATCTCTGTTTTGTATACCATAACCTGGTGATCGTTCATCTTCTCTTGGACCATCATATCTTTCGTCTACTCTATCATACTGTTCAATATTATGTTCATTATCATACTGACGGTCCATACCAATTTCATAATCACCTTGTTCCCTATCCATACTATCCAATCTATCTCTTTTAGTGGAACGGTCCCTTTCAAGTCTTTCCTGTTTCCTTCCACCCCTATCAGAATGTGTATCTTGTCTCTCCTTTGAATTGTTCGAATTCTTGTCAGTTTCAAGATTTCTGTTGGAAATAGCAGCAAGGGCGGCTAAGCGTTCCTCAGGTCTAGGCAAAAGACGCTCCATAGGCTTATTAGGCTTTTCTAAACCCTTATCAGATCCTCCTCTACTACCTAAACCTCGATCACGCCCCCTTCGCTTACTATCATCTCTTTTATTATCTTTGTTTCGCTCGCGACCTCTTTCCTTTCTATCATGTCTATCTTTATCGTCATGTTTATCCTTTCTTCTCTCTAAAGACCTGTCTTTATGATCGCGCCCTCTATCTCGATCTCGACTCGTTGATCTTTTTCTATGCCTCTCTGGACTACCATCTCTCCTAACTTGTTTTTTTGGTGAAACTGGTCTACTTCTGTCGGAGCTTTCTTTTTTTCTAGGATCTTTAGGATGTTGTCTAGGAGACCTAGATCTTCCTTTTCTGGGAGACCTACTACGACCTTTAGCACGTTCCCTATCTTTATCACGATCTTTATCTCTCTCCTTTTCCCTATCTTTTTCTTTAATGCGATCCCGATCTTTATCCCTATCCCTAACAGAATGAGGAGATGTACTCCTATTTCTATCTCGTCTTTGTGGAGATTTTCCATGTTTTGTTGCGAGTTTTGTTACACTCTTAGAACTAATTGGAGGTGTCCCACCAGACTTTTTTCCTGGAGACAAGGACTTTTTAGTTAAAGCTGGTTTTGTGATAGGCTTCTTTTTAGTAACATCATTTTTTTTTAATAGTCTGTCATCCTTTTTCACATTTCCTTTTTTTGTATTGCTTTTATCTCGTTTGAGAGAATCACCTTTAACTAATTTCTTTTTAGTTGGAATATCACCATCTGAAGATGAACTTGAATTCCTTTTCAGTTTTCCTTTTTTACCCTTCCTTCTTGTATCTCTATAAAATTAAATCAAAATCAACATTAAGTTGAACATGGAGAAATTACAGGTCATTGTGACTTTAGTCCATCTATTTCCTATTATGCAAGGAAATAGAAGAACAAAATAAATATTTGATATGTATATTTACAAATGATAAGTTAAAAATAGATTATGATACACCTTTATATCACAGTCTATTTTTTATTTCAAAGGAAAATGGTGAAACTCATTGAAAATGGTTTCATTGTCTAAATTAAAATAATTTCAAATTTATTTCAACATAGTTCCAGTCATATATCGATATATATTCCTGTGTCGTAATTAAAAATAAAAATAAATCTTGCCTATTTATTTTAAATACTTTTAAACCAATTTATATTGTCATATACTTTCATAAAGTGAACTGCAGAAGTAGCACAGATTGATTTGTTATAAAACAACATGAAGATGTACAATCAAATAAGTTTGTAAAAGATGATGAAATTACAGATGACTGCTTTCAGTCATCTGTAATTTGATTTCGAAATAAAATTATAACTTAATTTTACAAAGGAGCAGAAGTAGCTGCTGTTTAATAACTTATTTGTGAGCTGTGTTTCAGTAAAAGGTTGAGATTTGTCAGTTAAATCACAAATCACATGGTATGACATGATAACTTAGTACACCAGAATGGCATTGCATTGTTACCTTAAGACATGATATCCATGGTGCTATTTATAATGCAGAAAAAATGAGGCATAATAGGTACAAGAAGGTAACTTAATTAATATTAAAATTAATAAAAAAAATATTGATAGTTATTTTCCAATTAGGTTAATATTCCAATTTATTAAAAAGTTATAACATAGATATTGGTTGTCACACACTATTAGGTGGGCCATCAGCTTGTTTGCCACATGCCTAAGTGGTCTAGCGGTTAAGCACATGGTCTTATTTCTGATGGTCCCGGATTTGATTCCTTACAAGGTGCAAACATTTGTATGAGGAGTACGATTGTTTGTATTAAACTGGATATTTTCTATATAAATTATGCACATACATCATTTACAAAGGAAAAGATGTATTTAAGTAGTCTAGTACATATAACACAAGGTTGGGATTAGCAGTGCTGTGTGGATTGTCCAGGGTCTTTATTATTATTCCAAACATTAATAAAAAAAATCTACATGAATTCAGAAGTCTAGTTAGACTATTTCTAAACACTTAAACTAAATTTGTAGAATGTTTTATCAGTTCTAGAATGTTGAATGAGAATCAGTCCATAACACTAAGATCTCATGACAAAATAAAGCATTTATTTCAATTCTTCTAGCATAATTTTATACACAAAACATTTTTGAACATAAAACAGAACACAACTCAATAAAGCTGACTCAGCTGAATAACTGACATAGTACCATCCAGTGTCTTATAATAAACTATGTAGAGTATGTACTATGGGTATTAGACTACTGACGGATATACTTCAGTTTTGTAAATAAATACAAAATATAACAGAGAAATACCACACACAGACAAATTACTGAATACAATTTTCTGTATAACACTTAAGGATCAGAAGTAGAATAACAACTTGCATTTAATATCCCATGTTTTATATTATAAAATATTAGTTACAAAGAGACAATTAGAATATTGGAATATAGAGTCCATTCTGTTATTCATAATAAATATTGTATTAGCAATAATCATTATTGTATGTACATTAATTTAATTAATATACATAGAACACATTTCTGTTCACACATATCAATGTTATTATAAATGTGAAAATGTATTTGTATGTTAATTTATCATTAATAAATTATTAAAAATATCTTAATAAAAATTAAAATGTAGATGGATTGTATCATGAGGACAAACAGACTAGTATTATGTCAAAAAAAGCAGAAAGGTCACTAATATGTACAAATTGCCGTACCTTCCTGAGGAAGATGATGAGGTACTGCCATCGGAAGATGAAGAAGTCATGCTTGAGGAACTAGAACTCCTCGACGAAGAAGTGCTGGAAGCCATTTTTTTTTTAACCTTACGCACGTCTTTTCCCGAGTCCATTTTCAATTGCAACTCTAATTCACGTTGCAACTGTTGTCTCCTTTTCTCAAGAACGTCTGTATCTGCGTATTCTAGGTCATTTTGATCCCAGTTGTCAATTTCGCCGTCAGGGCTACGGCCCGATCTCACTACCACAGTGGAATGTAATCTGTTTTTTCCATCGTCCTTTATTAAACGTTTTGTTTCACTATCTTTATTAGCAGCTCGTTGTTTAGAAGGACTAATTAAAGTGTGTGTAGCTGCAAATTTGCAACTTTTACCGTAAGCGCAATTACCGTGCTGTGCCCACTGTCTACAATGTTCAGTTGTTTTTTTTGCACTCGAAGTTTTCTTAGTTCCCAATCGCTCAAAAACACTAGGTCTATTGGCTAGATCTTTTGATTTCGGTAATTCAACAGTTATTTTTCTTTTTCCTTGCTTTGACATTATAAATGAAATACATTGGTCTTACTTGAAATTAAAATCGATTGTAAAAATACATTAGCAATACCGGTATACCAGTCGCCATTGTTTATTTCACACGATTTTTTTTAATTTATTAAGACTTTGGCTATTAAGTTGACAGTATTCCACAAGCTTCTTAAAGACCCATTCTTTTATGCACTATAATATTTTCATCGTTTCATTTGTAGACATACAATTCAGAATGGTGGACTTGTTCTTTATAGTAGACTGAGTTAAGTATTGTCGGCAACAGTTAGAACTAATCAATTAGCTAGACCTAAACAAAATTATATTGAAAAAAATACATTATGAATAAAACAACACAAATTAGTACACATTAGTAAAGTAGTATTTTAAAATGTCGCAGTGATAATTGATGTCAAAATATAAAATACGTACCAAGACTTTAGTTTTCCAAATAAGTCCTTGGCAAATGCACTTTATGCCGGAGCCATGATATAAAAAAAAAGTTATAGAAAAATAAAAAAAAAAATGATTGAAATTCAACTTTACGGAATACAATAATTTTTGGTATTTTGTTAAAATTTATGTATATTTAGATACTATTTCTGTTATTTATACGTATAATATCAATACAACAATGCCGTTGCTTGACGGTAAAGAAATAGACATATTTTTTGTAAGTAATGCTTTAAATATTTGTGTTTATACTTTGTGTATGTAAAAATTCTATACACGCTATTCAAACTATGGTGGAATAATTAATTTACTAACACAACAATGTGTTATAGAATAACTACTACATATTTAAATCCAAGCTAGGTCATAATTTTTTATTCTATTCTAGCTGAGAATCGAACTCGAGACGCCATCTACTCAGTAACGTGGAGACACGTTACTGTGAGTAGTACTAATTTTAAACAAGTTTCACCACTACAAATTAGGTGTTATTATGTTGAAGTCTATTTCACAACTTAACAGATTTATATTATTTTGTTTAATAGTTGTAATAATTGTAGCGGAATGAAATAAAGTAATGTAAATTTATTGAGTATAAATTATTTTTTGTCTCAATTGAAAATTAGAACTATCTAATAAAACATGTTGTATTTATTTTTAGAATGAACAAGATTTACCCTATGAAGAAGAAATATTAAGAAATCCATTTTCTGTAAAACATTGGCTTAGATATATAGAACATAAAAAAGGAGCACCTAAAAATGAAATTAATGTCATTTATGAAAGAGCTTTAAAAGAGTTACCTGGTTCATTTAAACTGTGGTATAATTATTTAAAACTGAGGAGAAGTCAAATTCGTGGTCGCTGCATTATTGACCCTTGTTATGAAGATGTTAACAATTGCTTTGAAAGATCTTTAGTGTTCATGCATAAGATGCCTAGAATTTGGATGGATTACTGTACATTTTTAACTGACCAATGCAAAATCACAGGTACAAGAAAAGCGTTTGATAGTGCTTTAAGAGCTTTGCCAATAACACAGCACCATAGAATATGGCCACTTTATCTTAATTTTCTGAGAAAACATGATATACCTGAAACTGCCATTAGAGTTTTTAGAAGATACTTAAAACTGTGCCCAGAAGATACTGAGGAGTATATAGATTATTTAATTTCTATAAATAAACTTGATGAAGCATCTTTAAAGTTGGCCCAAATAGTAAATAATGAAAACTTTCAATCTAAGCATGGTAAATCCAATCATCAGCTTTGGAATGAATTGTGTGAATTGATATCTAAAAATCCAGATAAAATTCATTCTCTCAATGTAGATGCTATTATTAGAGGAGGTCTTAGACGTTATACTGACCAATTAGGCCATTTATGGAACTCCCTCTCAGATTACTATGTAAGAAGTGGTCTATTTGAAAGAGCTAGAGATATTTATGAAGAAGCTATTCAAACTGTAACAACAGTAAGGGACTTCACACAAGTGTTTGATGCTTATGCACAATTTGAAGAACTTAGTTTGAGTAAAAAAATGGAAGAAGTTGCAAATAAAATAAATCCTAGTGAAGATGATGATATTGATTTGGAACTTAGGCTTGCTAGATTTGAATACTTAATGGAGAGAAGATTATTGCTTCTTAATTCAGTACTTCTAAGACAAAATCCACACAATGTTGCTGAATGGCATAAAAGAGTTAAATTATATGAAGGGAAACCACATGAAATTATAGATACATACACAGAAGCTGTACAAACAGTGGATCCTAAATTAGCTGTAGGTAAATTATATACATTGTGGGTTGGATTTGCAAAATTTTATGAGAAAAATGAACAAATAGAAGATGCTAGATTGATATTTGAAAAAGCAACTCAAGTTATGTACGCAAAAGTTGATGATTTAGCCTCAGTATGGTGTGAATGGGCAGAAATGGAAATTAGACATGAAAACTATGAGGATGCTCTTAAACTAATGCAAAAAGCCACTGTCTTACCTAGCAGGAAAGTAGCTTATCATGATGACACAGAAACAGTACAGATGCGTTTATATAAGTCTCTAAAAGTATGGTCTATGTATGCAGACTTAGAAGAAAGTTTTGGTACATACAAATCTTGTAAGGCTGTGTATGATCACATTATTGATTTAAAAATAGCCACACCACAAATAATTATAAACTACGGACTATTCTTGGAGGAACACAACTATTTTGAAGAAGCCTTTAGAGCTTATGAAAAAGGAATTGCTCTTTTCAAATGGCCTAATGTTTATGACATATGGAATACATACTTGACAAAATTTTTGAAAAGATATGGTGGAACAAAACTAGAAAGGGCAAGAGACCTATTTGAACAATGTCTTGAGCACTGCCCTGCAGAATTTGCAAAGTCAATATTTCTTCTGTATGCAAAGCTAGAAGAAGAACATGGTCTAGCAAGACATGCAATGTCTGTCTATGAAAGAGCTACAACATCTGTGCTTCCTGAGCAGATGTTTGAAATGTTTAACATTTACATAAAAAAAGCAGCAGAAATCTATGGTGTACCAAAGACTAGGCAGATCTATGAGAAGGCAATAGAGACATTACCTGAGGAAAAGGCTAGAGAAATGTGTGTTAGATTTGCTGAAATGGAAACTCGATTGGGTGAAATCGATAGAGCTCGAGCAATATATGCTCATTGTAGCCAACTATGTGATCCAAGAATCACTGCAGATTTTTGGAATACTTGGAAAGAGTTTGAAGTTCGTCATGGCAATGAAGATACAATGCGTGAAATGCTAAGAATAAAGAGAAGTGTACAAGCAACTTATAATACACAAGTAAATATGATGTCAGCCCAAATGTTGAGTTCAGCAGCACAAGCAGCAGGTACCATTTCAGATCTTGCACCAGGTATGAAGGATGGCATGAGAATGCTAGAAGCTAAAGCTGCAGAGATGGCAGTACAAAGCAAGGGTAATATTATGTTTGTACGTGGAGAAACACAAGGCTTGAAAGAAAGTACAGAAAAAGTAGTAAATCCGGATGAAATAGACATAAATGAAGATTCAGAAAATAGTGATGATGATGATGATGACGGAGAAGTGGCGCCAGTACAGAAGAAGGATATTCCGGCTGCTGTGTTTGGAGGCCTTGTACCAGACGATGAAAATTGAAATAATATTCAGTTTCAGTAATAAATCAACTTTTTTTTATTTATAACCTTATTCACAGTTACACATTCATATATTTATAAAGTTATCATCATCCAGTTACTCTTTTCTATACACAAGCCCTTATTTACAACTCCAATCACAAAACCCATGTTACTGTGTCATGTACTAGCTCTAGGTTTTGTTGTTTTATTGCAAATCAGAAAATGATTAATTGAATTTACTACATTCATAATTTCGACTACCCTGTAGGGTTCTGACGTGAAGATAGCTAATAGATTTGAAAAGTCCCCTATCTGTTTAATATTTTTATGGTGGATTAAGCATATATTTACATAAATCACATTTAGTAATACACACCATAAACAGTGTTAGATGCATTTGATTAGTTATTGAGATTATAAGTCAGAATTTCCATTATATTACATCTCGCGGAGGTGTAATGAAGTGAAGTGAATTGGAGTACATATTTTGATGTTCATTATAATTTAATACACTAATATCATTATGAACACCTCCAAACATAATCAATTCCCCATTTCCTTTTACTAAGGAATACATAACTAGTTCTTCTGGAGCACCATTCATTTCTCCTAAACGAGGACATAACCAAGACACATAATTTAGAGAGTTTCCATCTATAACACTTGAAATATCCAAAACATGCATAGTTAATGTATTTCTTTTAATTTTCTTTACTGCTGGTTGCCTTTGTTGAGGATTTGGTGGAGGGGGCAGGGGCTCCCTCCTATTTTCTAAATGAGCAATTTGTCTTTGATTAATGAGATCATTTTCAGGCGATGTATTATTCAGAGATGAGTCGCAAGCAAATGCTGCCATCCGGTATTTATTGGCTTCTTGCAATTGTCGCACAATTTTCATACCTTTATTCTGAAAAACAAAAATACATGCTATAAATCTGATATAGTCATAATTGAGTTGAATTCATTACTAATCACAATGAATGATGAGTGTGCATAGCAAGCTGTTCATGCACGGGATTTTCATTTAATGTTAGACATAGACACCTATATGTAAAAATATACATTGTAAAAAACCTGGCTTTTAAAAAATAAAATATTCAATTGAGTTTCTTGTCAGTTCTTCTCAATTGGATCTATATACTGATCTGGATGATAGGGAAAAAATTTTAGAATATAATGTAACAAATTGCATTTTCATAAGCGGCTAATATGTCCTACATGAATAATTTTTTTTTTTAATTTTGAAGTTTTCAATACCTTACCTTATTTTTATTTCTTCTCAAAGGTGTATCTCTCTTTGTCAAATCAGCAACATTACCTATTTGTTTATTTTCAGAGCTAGGTCCAGGAACATTGTTGGCTTCACAGCTAGCATTTTCATCAGATGTGGCTAAATTTTGATTTCTAGATTGCTCATTACTTGGACCTGCAACCGGTTCATTAGAATTATTTTCCTGTACCTGCCGTGCTAAAGCTTGTCTAGGTAAAACACCTCTTCTTCCATTTATATTTTGATCTCTATCTAATGGCCTTTGTAAGCTTTGTTCCACTCTAACAGATACAGGAGCACCTTCTGGTCTACTTAAAGCTGATAAACGAACTGCTGAAGTGACTAATGGTTTGGCACAATTCCATCCATTTCTACTTCTACTCAAGCTAACAACTTTATCACCAACCCTACATGCCGGGTTACACCATATATTAGCAGCGGCCCATTCTTTATTTTTCACCGCCAGTTCCTTCCAAGTCCATGTAGGTCCTTTCATTGTTAAAATCCAACAGTCACTATAAACGAACCGGTTGTGTAAAGTCTGCACACCTCCCAATAACATTAATCTTTCAGAATCTAATCGTATTAATGATTGTGCATACCTTGGTGATGGTCTGGGTTTAGTTGTTGGCTGCTTTCTCCAAGTAAGAGTGGGTATGTCAAGTACCCAAACATCATTCGAACATTGTATTTGATAGTTTTGGGCTACTGTCATTACTAATCCACCAAATACTATCATCTCATCTCCTTTCATGCACGCTGAATGTCCGGCCATTGGAGGTGGACTATTTATGGAATTAATCAGTATCCATCTATTAGTATTAACACAATAAAAGTGTATTTCATTAAACATAGTTACATTTTGATAATACTGTGATAGTGAAGGGTAAGTCCATCCTCCAAACACTATCAGACAGTCTTTATAATGTACCATAGAAGTATATGCTTTTGGTACAGGATATGTGCCTGTCGCCAATGGCCTTACCCATTGTCGCATAGACAGATCAAAGCGCCATAGATCATTAAATGATGTAGCATTAGTAGTGCATCCTCCAAATATGTACATATTGTTTTCAAGTATGCATGCTGAATGTGAAAATCTTTTTGTTATTGTAGGTCCCATATCAATTGGTGCAATGTTTGTCCATAATATATTGAATTCTCCGACTGCTTTGATTAGTTTCATGGATGTCTTTCGTAAAACATCTAGAACATAAATATGACAGAGATTTATATCCATACTAAGAAATATATATAAAGTAGTTAATAAAACAAAAACTAAGTAAGAACCTTATGCAGAGGTACTAATAATTAAGAGATAATAGACATGTTCTGATTATCTATGAAATATAGAATTGCCATACAAAAGAGATTTTTTGACTACTTATTTACTGACACTATTATAATTATGTAAAAGATGTGTGTAATTTTAATAATATTTAAACTGGAGTTCATTTCAGTATCTTTATGATAAAAACTGTATATAATGTATCCCAAGCAGTTAATGAATCCTGATAGCTTAGAATATATAATCGAACATATTTTATGGTACGATGCGGTGGTTAGGTGAGTTCAAATAATAAAGTAATTGATGGCGCTTGAGATGATTATGTGCAAATTTTTAGAGCAGAGAAACGAAAGTGTATAATAACAAAACTCACTGTGAGCACAATTATACCATCTCTTACAAACAGTCATACAATTTTGCAGATCTTTGTAAGGAGGCAAAAAACCCAATATAAATTCCAATACTTCATCTGGAAGGTCCTCAATACTACTACGCAGAGTTTGTTGACGTAGAGATCTATGTATAACTTCCATGTTTTTATACCTATTATAATCCAAAAAATATCATTTTTATAAGTATGTGAAAATATAAAAAAACAGAAATTAGTGAAAATCTATTGCATCGAATAAACATTCAATTTTACATTTACTAGATTGACAGCACTATAAATTTTATTTTGGCCACAGTTGACAGTTTGAATGACATACAGCCGTCATCAAAAACATGTAACTGGAAGGTACACATTATAAGTGTATAACAACTTAGTTACCGTATTCAATCTGAGTACCAGTATTAATATGGAACCTGATTAATATAATAAGTACATTACCTACATTATAAATAATATTATATTAGATAGATAAACAGTTTATTACAATAAAATAAACTGTGTTGATATGGATAGAGAATAGATATAGAAGTAATTGTATGTGATTGGTAACAAGTTAACAACCAATTACACACAGCACCAAGAAGACATATTCATATGCGACAACGTCACCTGAAGCACGTTCTTATTGTTCCCGACGACCCCTTAACGGTAGTTAATCCCTACAAGTTCACCTGTTCATATTACGTTTTCACACACACACGACACCGCCCTAATCGGTGATGACTACGACCTCAACCACACCATACATACATCTAGTAGTAGTAGAATTGGTAGGTTTAATTAACGTAGATTCCAGTTTGTAATAATAATAGAAGAAATAAAAATGTTTTGAAATAAAATATGTATTAGATTTGTGCTGTCAATAATTTCTATGTCAAAGCTGTCAGTGTCATGTTCTTACGAATGTTTTTATGACCGGGAATTTCAACTTGCTTTCTCTTGAATGTTGATTGTAATAGTTAAATATATCAATGTATAATTAATATTGCAATAATTATAATATCAGTATTTCAAAAATCTTGATCTTAGTAGATACAGTAGATGCGTACTATTAGTCTTTATATACCTCTATTGGAAATATATTGACACATAACCTATAATTAATATTCGTTAAGGGAAAGAGTGTAAATTATAAAACTGGACAAAATTTGTGTTGAACTCTTTAAATATGCAAATCTTGATTCAAGCCAGACCCTTAGTAGACAAATTAAAACATTGGCGTCAAGCACTCTCGTTCAATGAGTTTCATTTAACAACATCTCAAAAGGTGACCTTTTTTCGCATTTTATGTATTTAAACAATTTTATGTATATAGGTTGCCTATTTTTATTATTATAATGTATGTTGCTATTCATGCAGGTTGTACTATGGAGCATAGGAGTTGTGGGAACTAGTGCTATTGTAGTTGGAGTACTATCTAAATATTTGGCAAGAAGGCGGGCTAAACCAATATTGAATCCCAGGATTCAAAGGGCTATTAATAAAAGAATATCACGTATGAGAAGTCCCAATGGAGGTAATCATATTTTAGGATTGTTTACATGATCATATATAGTATAAATTCTATACCTATTAGTTTGAAAATGTTTATTATCTTTTGTGTCTTTTTTTGTTTCAATGCATATAAATAATTTAGAAGCATTAAATTCACAGTAACATAGTATAGAATAAATAAATTAGATTTAAAACTAAAATATGAAGTTCACCTGAAATAATTATAACAATAAAGTAACAGATTTGTTGCATTACTGTTAGTTTTTATAGGTAAGTACTGTATATTATCCTAGTATGGGTAATATGCAGTATAATTTTGTATAATTGCCTAATAGTCAATATTTAATTACTTGTAGTCAATTGTAATTATTATAGAAACATTGTATACTATGGAAAATTCAATTTATGTCTTGACACAGTTCTTCATGTCCTCAAGGTTATTCCTAAAATAAAGTACAAATTGAAGTATATGATTTACTGTGGTTTTATATTGCAATCAATAGAATCAAATTTGTATGACATGGTAAAATGAATATATAATATTATTTACAATACTTACTCTAATTTGACAAGGTATGGGATCCGTTGCTAGCAGCGGTGGCCGTAGCAGTCCACTCGGATTTAGTGAGCGACTCTCCCTTGCTTCGGGTTCTCTTGGTTCTGGTGGTGGAGATGCAGCACCTCTTTCTCCACAGCAGCTTGGTGTTATGGGTAAGTTATTCAACAATTGAGATTCACTGACTATGTATTGTTACAGTTATAACAGCGCCATCTCTTGTTAAATTGCTAGTGTTTTGTATCATTCACAACTGCCTATGTATCATTATATACTTTGTGTGATCTTCATGTGCAAGGATATTAATTGGTCATAGTTACCATGTTGGGTATGGTACTTATTGTTTTCATTGTAGTTCATACAATATAATTTTCACCTTAGATTTCAGTTTGTAACAGCTTTCTTAGGCTTCATTTTTACATTAGAACTGCTGTTTTTTTTTTGATTACTTTTAATTTAATAAAGTAATGTATGCACATGTTTGTCTATATTCCTTAATTATTTAATATATTCATAATATGATATACTTAATTGTAATAACAGTGTTAATACACATATATCTTTATGTACAAAAATTTTTACAGCGCCATCTATTACTGAGTGGCTGAACTTCATCAATTTTGCTTTTGTAATTTAGATTTAATATGAATTAGAATGTCTAGATGGCAGAAATAACATTTGTATCAATTTACACATTTGTATAATTTTCCGTTTTAGCCAACATTTGAAACAACATGCTTGCACTAAGTTTTTTTTAATACAGTTGGGGATACCGTGGGGATATCATAATATTATTGCATTGGCGGGATAACACGTTGCTTGTATATACATAAAAAATATAATATAGGTCAAGTATCTACAAAATAACGATGTCTTCATAGGCAGGATTATTAGATGATTTAATTATTCATAGCATACTTAGCCGTTGCATAAAAAGGTATCAACTAATTTCAATAAAATAGTGTCGTTTAAATAATAATTCTAAATTATTGTCGACACTCGATGCTGTACCGTTACAATGCACAATTGGTTAAGTGACCTGATTTAATTCTTTATTGGTGCTCATACAGCACAGATATAGGCCGTATAGGTAACATTAGTGTAGGCGGAATTAGCATTCCATTATCGTAAAAAAAAGAAACACCCATATCTCCCATTGGACAATGGAAAATTTCATTTTTACACAAATGCCCTATCCAAATAGTAAACGAATGGCTGTAAAGTGTTAATTAGTTAGTCAAGATGGGTAAATTATATGAAATTTAGCTCTATGGTCCACAGCCCCTCTTTTCAACTGGGCATGTGCCCAGGGCCACGCGATGAATTGGGGCCCCCTAGTATAGTTCCTACTCCATTACCAAACGATAACCGATAGCTACTCCACTTTCGCCTGAAAATCAGTCTTAATAAATGCTTACCGACTATGGTGATTTTGTTCGTTTTTGTTAATTTTTATATAAATGTCTAGCAAGAACAAGAACCCCTCTTCGCATAACAACTTTTTAAAAATATTTTTGCTTGGTTGGTTTTGAAGATAAGGTAGACTTTGTCTATTCTAATTAAATAGTGCTTTATTACTATGGTCATAGGGGCCCCATTAATAGGTGAAAGACGGCACTGATAGTCCATGTAACTTTATGTAACAGTGATATGATTTGTACTGGCAGTTAAGATAATATTACATAATACAGGTAAAACGAATAACTAGCAGCATTTAAATTTAGCTAATACATATTGCATTATAAAATTTTATTGAGTAATCTGGTTACTACTCACTCAAAATTTATAATGCATGCGAGCTGCATGCATTATAAATTCTATCTCATGATATTGTTATGGTTTTTATTATTTATGTTATATGGGCTATATGCCATAGGGAGGCAAAGTTTTCCACATAGTTTCTCATTCAGTCAAATATATGGACCACTAAGTATTTTAGACTTATTTCTATTTAAGACTATATCGTTAGAAAAAAAAAATTGTACGGTCTTTTCGTTGGTTTTCGATTGTGTCCGACTCTGGTTTACGTTTTAATTGATGTCTCCTCAGAATGATAATACTGTGTCAAAGGTGACTCAGAGCGTCGGAGTTCTGGGTGCATCTCGGCTTAATTATGATATGATTTCATCCACAAATATAATAGGACGGTATCTGTTACATTACAACAATAAGTACACTATCATCTTAATAATATAATATTATAAATACGAAAGTTTGTGAGTATGGATGTTTGTTACTCTTTCACGCAAAAACTACTGAACGGATTTTGATGAAACTTTACAGTAATATAGCTTATGCATCAGAATAACATATAGGCTATAGTTTTTATTAATTTATATATAGAAATTTAATGTGGGTGAAACCGCGGGCACAGCTAGTTAATTATAATAATTGAGTAATAAGGATATTTTTGTGCAATGTGAATGGCTCTTATAATGCGACAGTACAAAATAGTAACTTTATTTATTACTAATGTATTATGTATATTAAAATAGTATACTTCAAACTGACAACTTTTACACAAAAATACCTGATGGCACCACCGTGAAGAATAACTGAAATCTATGTGTTAATTTTTTATGTACTCAATTGAAATGGCAAACAAGGTGACGCCATACCTGATGGTATGTGGTAACTGTTGCCGATTACACGAAGACGATGATCGTGGTTCATACATGTCATTCTGGAGGATTTAGATACAAAATATCACATTAATAGATCCAGTAGTTGTTAATTGGGTAGTTAGTGTCTTCGCTGTTATATATGAATAGATTACAAGAATTACGTTGTTAACATAATTATGCTCGTTTGTCTGCAACGCATGCCGAAGTCATATTTTATGCATACAATTAGATAAAGGACATTTACGAGTATGTTGCAATTATTTATGTGTTACGTGACATAATTCCTAACATTTAATCTTATAGTGGAGTTAGGCGCCACGCTATTTTATTAAAAACTCAGGCTGCGAAAATAGTTTAGAAATAAATTTAAAAACCTCAACCTCAACAATCTATACTTAAATTGTATTATGAAACGAGATATACCATGAACGGCATAATTATACTTTGATATCAATGGGTTATAGACAACCTTAATATTTTTAATGATGATTTCGGATTATTTGTCATAATTAGAATTTTGAACCAAAAAAGCAAAACGAAATCCTTAAGTCTTTTCCGTCAATACATTTCAAAAAGTACAGAGATAACGATATGATATTTAATACAATTTTAGATATTGTTGTCTCCACAGAACAACTTTGTAGAATCACACAGTTCTGTGGTTGACTCGATCACAATGATAGCTGAAAAGTTTACAAATATTTTTACTTTTTAAATTAGAGGAACATAAACGAGGAATCTATTTTTCTGAATATCATACTAGCATGACGGATTATTTAAATAACTTTACTTCAATTATATTATAATGTCCGAAGTATATGATTTTCCATCACAAATAGTTACTTATGGTATAACATGTTAATATTGCAGAATAACAGTAGTAGTATTTGAAGAATGGGTTAATAATCATAATAGAAACTCAGTTAATTAACACAGCGCCATAAAGTCCTAAGTTTGTGATATGGGTAGTCAACTGTTAGAATATTTAAATACTACCTAATATTTTAATACTAGATTACCGAGGCCGGCAAAAATTCTTGTCCTTGTGGGTTAAGGTTTCTTGTTTGAGTTAATGGGCTAACAAGAAAGGAATTTGACAAAATGTTAGTATAAAGATACAGTTATTTATTAATTATAGAACATGACTCTTAGAGAAATAGAAATCAGACAAAACATACCTATACGTGTAGAGCATAAAAATCATGTACTTATGAGTCTAGACATGATGTGCTCTTCTTCAAGCACTCCAGACATGTCTTGGAGCACAGAAGAGCACTCGTCGTTCCTCAAAATATTTGCTTAGGTGTGTAAAACAGGCTTATTATTATAGTTGGCGTTGCAAAAACGTCTTTAGCCTATGATAAATATATTTTAAGTCACAAAAAATATAGCAGAATATACTGCCAAAAGCTTTGTATATTCTTAGGAATTTGTTTTCGGCAACGGCATCCTGGGAATTTAGATTGATATCAAACTACATTTTCCTTGGAAACTACTATTATAAAATTCAGCATCTACATAATTTATTTTGGTCATTTTGTTTTAATGCTGCCCATGTGTCTGGTATAGGTGTGGTATAGGCTTTTATTCAGAATATCTTCATTTCCACCTTTTTTACTCTGGTAGGTTCTAATAAGATCCAGGAGTCACCACTTCTGGATATCGTCCTTGTAGATATTCTATGTCAGTCGTCATAGCAGTAAACTGCATTAACTAAGGGAATAGTGATTGTTAGAAATAATACAGTAATGTATAGTAATGTACAGTAATAGTATCATGTCAGGTTGATCTTCACGCGATTCTATCTGGAAACCATCATGATTAATTCTTAGTGAATTTGTCACTGTAGGCTAATCGACCTGACGTCATACTCATCTTATCATCCTCCACTGGTGCCTCGTCAGCGTATACCGTTAGCGCAGCGAAGGCATCATTCCATTATCAACTAATACAAAAAACTGCACTAACTAAAAATAAGATAAATCAACTTAAAACTTAAGTTGTGTTTCAATGTGTTTTAAGTTAATGCATTTTATTATAAATGTACCTGTGTAAACTTTATACTGTATAGTTTATAGTTTGTACCTTACTTAAATATAACAACAGATAAAACTTGTTTGACCTTGTTTACTGTATTCCGGAAAGTGACTATTTATCACGATTCTTCTGAGTTCATATTTCTGATTTTCGTAAAGGTAGATACGATTAATTGTTTAGGGTGTAGGTGAATTTTATTATTAGGTGTGCGCACAGTCAGGGTATTTTATTTTATTGTTGAAAAAATATGCATAGTATTCTTTTTTATCATGTATATCCTAATCGTTCTAGAGTGTGACAACTATTTTTTAGATGTATTGTCCAGGTTTGGTCATCGTAAATCTACTCAGTTTACTTTTGACATGTTATACATCCATTAGTGGTTGTAAACGAACGACTGACAACTGTGTTTGTGGATGGACAATTTACACATGGACTAGAGCAGCGTCGTCGCTAGTGATTTATGAAGAGCCTTTCACCGTAGGCTTCATTTT